ATTTGTCTAGCTCGGATATTCCTTATAGTAATAAAACCCATAAAGTTTGGCAGTCGCTTAGCAATTTTGCAAAAGGCTTGCTCATTTTGCAGAATTTTAAGATTATTTTCATCAGCTTGAATCTGCGCTCTTTGATAACACTGCTTTTGCTCTAAGAGGTGCCAGAAGGCACATGATTTGAATTCTTCGAAATAAGGAAAGTAAATATAAACCAGGTGAAGGAAATTCCAAAGCTACTAATTTTCCAAAAAGGCGGCGTAAAACTTCTAAATCTATTATCGTAGTTTTGTAATACCCACTCATAGCTGCATTGCAAAGAACCGCATGTTGAAATAAATTTTAAGATTTCTTTTTCCATAAAACTTCAATAAATCTCTTTGAAAAAACTCGACCAATGTAAACTAATAATTCAGTCTAAAGGTTTTTTTGCTACTTGGGAGGTTAGCTAACGAAATGAGTGTATCTGATTTTGAATCCAAATGAATTTTCATTCCAAGTGCTTATAAGGATTGTGAGCTACCCACTCCACTTCCTCGTCGCTCCTCCTTCAAATCTTCTCTATAACACAGAACACACATATGTAGCAGCTGAGCACACGTGATGCATAAAAGCACATCTTCACATCTTGCTCTTATTTCAAAAAGCATAAATAATATGAACACATTGAGGCACAGTTACTTTATAAAAATCCCCTTCATTTTTTCTTATGAAAAACAGCGCATGAATGCTTTAAAATAAGTAAAGGTACAGGACGGTGGAACTTTTGCAAGCTTTCTGGAATGTCAGCAAAAAGCATAAAAACCAGATTCATTCAAGAGCAAAACTTCGAAACTCTTCAACATCAAGTTTTTGTGAGAAACTTTTATCTGAAAAGACAAGCCGGTCTCGCTTTTGCTTCAACTTTTCACTGAATTCACCAAAAAATATCTATTACTTCGATATTCGATTTACCTCATGTTCTCACGTTAGTGCTCTTAAAATTTATTATGATAGTTTTTTGCAAAAATCCACCCAATCAAGCACTACGCTGCTAATTTATGAGAAAATTTAGCTTGAGAGAGAAATTTCCTCAAACTTCTTCGGAAGATGATGTGTGTTTGGCGGAGGACATCACTCATAGGAAAAACAGAAGCTCACACTATAGTCTGTAGCACAGAATAGGAGAGTTCTCATAATTTCTGACTGAATATTGTAGGATGAATATAATAAATCAATATTATATTAAGTGGGTGCAAAAGTTCGTTCGCCGGTTTTACAAAAAATCATAACTTTCTTTCTACTCAATGTATCTCTTCCATTTGAAATTCATCTGAAGGAGAAAACCTTTCTCTTTAAAGCTGTGCCTTTGCCGTGAATTGGCATGCGAAAGTTCAAGGGTTAGAAGCAATTGAATAAAATCACTCAAGATTGGCATTTTTCAAGCAGAATCACAAAATATTCTGGAAGTATTTTTGTTCGATAGAAAAAATTTTGGTCATTACTATGGTGCCTTTCTCATGTATCAAAACGAAAAAGATCGAGAGTGAGAAGCAAATAAAGAGAATTACTTCAGTTTTGCAATTTTTAAGCATGCTTAAAAAGGCCTAGAAATGTCATAGAAAATGCAAAAAGCCACAGCATGGGTTCTGTAACCTTCTCTTTTTAGCTGAGCAAGTTTCGAGCTAATCGAGAGAAATTTTGATTTTCGTGATTTTTTCGGATTTTCGGGCCTGCGTTTTTCAATTTCAAAATTGCTCTCCATTGGCTCGAAACTTGTTCAGCCAGAAAGAGAAACTTATAAAACCTATGTATACAACTGTTTCGGCTTCTGCTATGACATTTTTATGCTTTTTTGAGCATTCTCAAAAATTGCAAAACTGAAGTAATTCTCTTTATTTGCTTCTAACTCTCAACTCTTTTCGTTTTGATACATGGAAAGGGCACCATAGTAATTATCAAAATTCTTTCTATCGAACAAGAATACTTCCAGAATTTTTTGTGGTCCTGCTTGAAAAATGCCAATTTTGAGTGATTTTCTTTGATTGCTTCTAACCCTTAAACTTTCGCTTGCCAATTCACGGCAAAGGCACAGCTTCAAAGAGAAAGGTTTTCTCCTTCAGAGGAATATAAAACGGAAGAAATACATTGAGTAGAAAGAAAGTTATGATTTTTTGAAAAACAGGCGAACGAACTTTTGCACCCACCTAATATACAGGGTGTCCCAAAAGTAAGTACACACTTTTCAATCGTCAATATCTCTCTTCCTAGTGTGTCTTTTTCCACCATTTAAGTACCATTGTGTAGAGAAGGCTTCAACTTAGATTTACAAAATTGAGCAAATCACCGATCTCTCTTCATTACAGTAGGATTACGGTAGGAACTCTCGGCAAGGATTTTAGGCCATTGGAAGTCATATTCTGCCTCGGAACAAGACCAAACAAGCCAAAAACTCTTATACTATGGTAGTGGAAGCCGCTGATTTCGAATATGAAACTTTCACTTTTCTGTGAAGCTTTTTTTCAAAGTTATCCCAGGTAAACCGTAATGCACGATTTCCCAGTGTTTGTCAGAGTTGTGATTACACCGTCAAAAAAGCTGAAAACACTTGTGAAAAGTTGTGTAGTGGAATCAGAGTGTGCGAAAACCTTAGTAAGCGATTTTTCAGATTTTTTGAAAATTTTTTTCGTCAGATGGCGTATCTCACAATGGTTCCATATGCTGGAAGTTCTTACCGTAATCCTACAGTAACAAGGAGAAATCGGTGATTCGATCGATACTGTAAATCTAAGTTGAAGCTTCCTCTACAGAATGGTACTTAACTGGCAAAAATAGACCCAATGGGAAGAGAGACATTGACGATTGAAAAGTGTGTACTTACTTTTGGGACACCCTGTATAATGCACGTGAATGAAAACTTTGAATATAAGAAAGTAAGACTGAAAAACAATGAAAAAGCCCCACTTATTGCATTTCAACAGCGTTTTCAGATTTTATATAGAGACCATATGATTTATGATTGAATTTTATATGAGTTTTACATTTCACCGATTCCTGCGTTTTAATTTAAACTGAAAAATCAGAGGTTTAAAGTTTTACCATGTTCAACTTTGCTACTTCTCTCTCTCTCAAGCTCCCGCCACATTTCCAAGAATTTGTTTTTCTCAAAGAAGTTTTCTTCTAGAGCTGCACTTCCGTTGCTTTCTTGTTAAGCACTTCATATTCCCACGCGCTTCGCATCTGCAGGAAATTCTCTTTGCTGCCGCTTAGAAATGTGTTTTCCTTTCTTTCCGCAAGCTTTGCTTCTCGCAAAAATCGATTTTTGCAGATTAAGTTGATGTATTCACAAGCTTAGCAGAACATCTTCGCTGTTGAATGTTTAGATTTTGCAAAATCAAAGTTTGCGCATGGACTACAGCGTTTTTATTGTGTGAAATCTTTGATTTTGCGACTAATTTTCAATCCAATTTTCATCAACTTGAATTTTTTTGTTTCTGTGGGATTCCATGTATAATTATTTTGAGCTGGAATGCTTTTCGAAAAGTAAAAAATTCTATTCTGAAAATTCAACAAAAAATAGATCAGAAATTCTCACATTACCTGAGCAGCATTAACCAATCCTTCTTTGATCTTTCTATAAAATTCTCTACATTTTTTTCATATCTGTAAAACTTTCCTTTTCCATTGATTGATTGTGTGATTCGCACTTTGAACTGAAATAATGTTGGAGCCAAACCCCATTTCAATTTAAAAAATAGGAAAAAAAACAAAATTTCACTTTTCTCATTCTGAGCGCCCTTCTTCCTCGTTCCATGAAGTTTTTCCCAAAGCTGAGTAAACATCCATCCGAAAACAAAGATGCTGAAGTTCTAAATTGGTATTTTTCCTTGCCAAGCAGCTCTTCGGTTCAGCGCATGAGGCACGCGAACTATTTCCTTTTTCTATATCAAACATTGTCTCATATTTCCTTATGGACTGAATTTGTCACCTCACATCGCAAAATAAAAACCTCGACTACTGAGCCTCTTCCCTCTCATTCTTTCGCTTTTCTTGAAAATAGTCACAAAATTTCTGAAGTGTCTCTATGAATGTTAGTGTGCAGCTCCACTCCTTTCTGCTTTCTATGAACATTTCAGTATTTTAGAAATTTTCCTTTGTGTGACTAAAGTTAAGCACGCTCGGAAACCTTACAATTCATGATCTGGATAAATTGAATGAGATTTGGAGTTCTGAGACAGTTGAATTTTTCTGAATCGTCACGATAAAGGCAATCATGATGTTACTTCTCGTCCCCGTCTTCTCCTTTATCTCAGCTGGGCCACAAAACTAATTATTTCACCTCAGATATAGCTGTTGTGCGCTGAACAACCCAAAAACCATTCAGTCCTCATGATAATTTCAAAGTATTTTTTCATATCAAAGTATAAACGTACTTGACATGCTCTTTGCGACAAAATCTCATTTACCAGTTTGTTATGCATTAGTTAGAAATATTTCATAAGTCGACAGGACCATCGGTGTTGACCCAGTTAGAATTGAATAAATAAGCAGATTATAGTTGAATTTTGAAAGTCTATTTTGTAACTTTTGCAAAAAGGGTAGCTGCGCCCTCTTTTTGTAAAAGTGTGTGGAATTTTACATCCTGAACATCCATCAGTGAAGAATTTTTCACGTTTCAATCAAGGTCCATTTTCCAAAGAATCTTGCCCCTTCTCAGGCTAGAAACAAAAAATAATCATTCTTTTTTGCTCTGTTTCAAATATTAATCTTGAATGTATTGTCCATTTTTTTCACAACCCTTGAATACAATACAACACTTAAAAACTTATCACACTTGCTTATGAGTATATATAATACTTAAAAGTATGTGAGGATCTAAACGCTATCAGGTACTGACTGCTGACTATAAAAATTTTTCATTTGTTGAGAATCCTCTGCTGAAGTCAAACTTATTGTGCGTTATTGCGAATTTCGTGCAACGAAAGTCTATAATTTTTAATGGGAGTTAAAGACTAATTTTTCAGCCCGGATCCATCAATAGACAACGACGAGATTACGATCGCGGAGAATCTAACGAACTATAGAAGTAAGTTCATTTGTCGCCTTCCTGACTACCTTGCTTTTTTGATTTGTAACATTTCTGTAAAAATTTTACTACTCTGTAAAATATTATATTGGAGTGTTGTAAATTCCTCTGATATGTATGTGTAACAGATGCGAAGCTACGATACATAGTGCATTACATCAATCAAAAAAGCTCAGACACATCTTAAATCTCTGCACATTTTCTTTCGTGCTCTAGTACAAGCACCGGTGTATGAGGAAGCAACCGAAAGTCTTGACCTTTGTATTTGCGTGCTGCTTGTCCTCTTCATCTTGAACTTCTCCGCAAGAAGCTTAAATGTTTGACCTTAGCTTTTCATTTCGTAGAATTTGCTATCCTCAAAACGGCTTAAGTACGAAATTTCGATTTACCCTCATAAGCTCATCCGCCATGGCTGGTCAGTTCTCCTTTATAGGGTATTTTCCTGGCAAAATCGGTGATTGTTGCGAGAGCACTGAAAGCGAATCTATAACCGAGCTGTTGGCCAAGTTGCAGCTTGTATGATTCATCTTTGGCCGAAAAATCCAACTATGAACTCTCTCCCAGACCGTAATTTTCACCGTACCCAAGAAATCGTATCTGCCGCCCAGAAACTGTCTGGTCATTAGAATTGCCTTTCTCGGGCGCGTATAAACCATATGACCTGCTGCTTGGATAATAGCTTAGCTAAGACCTTCCAAATGCTCTTTTACGAGAAAATACAAGATACGTATAGACAGACTTGCTCGAGCCATCAAAAGATGTCAAATATAATATAGCAAAGCGCATTTTTGTGGCATATATGCATACTCTCTGAACAATGGCCCTAGTAAATTCCATCATGGGAAATGATCTGTGGCAGGTGTCAGGCTGAACAAATCCTGCGACAGACAGGCGTTATGCTAGCGATTGATCCTCAGTCATCATCATTTTCATGCTATTCTCCCATCTGTTTTCGTTCATTCTACGTAGTTTTGATATATGAACCTATTCTGCAATGACTTTTTGAATCAAATTGAGTGCGGTAGTTGCCAACCTAGCATAAAAGGAAGTTTTATTGTAACTTGACTATATATAATCCCTCAGGCTTCTTCAGGGGTTTCGCCAGGTTTATCACCTGGAATTTGGGTGAATTCGAAGATTAGTGTTTCATCGAAAGTACTACTTCATGTATAATAGTATACCCAAATTCGATCCGTTTTTAACCTACAGTATCCAATTCAACTTTTCTCTTTAGTCTCTCCAAATCGTAAGCTATCAAGACAGAATACACTTCAGTGATTTCAAAATGATCTTAGGAAAATGATATGATTTGTCCTAGAGAGGGGCTTACTTAATTTTTTATTTTTTACCAGTGCGTCACCTCTGCTTCGCAGAGGCTCGCACTGGTCTTGCTTTATATGCTTTACTTGTTCTCGCCTAATGATGTCTTTGAAACTCACTGTGCAATGACGACTACCACTAATGAAATGTAAACAACTACTCATTTCAAAGGGTTTTTCATGTGAGATCGGTAATTTCGCGTGGATGGAACTTTTCGCAGAAGAACAAATGCAAATTCGGTTAGGTTTTTGAAGTTCTTTTGGCTTGGTAGTCGCCATAAGGACAACAATTACCGTGAGCTACATTTCTATGCAAAAATCCTCTCAAATGGTGAGGTAAAGCCACGGCGGATTGACCATTTGCGCAACCATTTCTTTTTGGCGTCGTTCTGGTATAGTAGTAGACCTTTGGTCACTTTTTCGCCTTAAGTCCATGTCTTGCACATCAACATGCCAAACTCATCCACGACTTTGCAAAAAGCGTTGATACAGACCCAATTTTGCGGGCCAGAGGCCAAGTGGATCCGTCTGACTCGCAAATTCTGATGAATCCACTCAACAAATTTGCTCGTGATTTTGTACGGTGAAGTTCTACGCTGGTAGCATGCGCTGTGCAAGATTTGGGCTCAGGACATTGGCTGGAACTCGCTCTATGAATTTCGTTACAGACAGACGGACGCACACACACACAAAGTCACGTAAACACCCTTAGCCCGTTATTATAAGTTATGATCTTGAAATTTCTAGTCTACGCTGAGTTTTTCACGTAATTCCTCATGTTTTCCAAGTACAGAGTAATTTTTTTAAGTAAACTTTTCAGCTTAAGTTCAATATTGGTTCTTACGGTCTTAAGCTGTTTAATCAATCGGTCAAATTCGGCAGAATTCCCCATTTAGAGCTTAATCCTCTTTGATAAGAGAGAAATCCTGTGAAACCTCAGCGAATCATCCTTGTCTTTGGAAGTTCTCTTGGAATGTCTGAAATCATCCCAACCGGGTCCGTGCATTCATTTGAACCCCAAAAGATGCTTGTGTCGTGTGATACTTTGCAAAAATATCTGAGATCTTTGCTGCTGCTGAAAAGTACGAGAAAACTGAAATGTAGAGCTACTCATGTTACACAAGGACTTTGACAGCTTTTAGCAGCAGTACAGCATTGTTTTGCAGAACAATAATGCAATGCGTGCGTCTCGGAACATTCACGGAACCATTACTAATGCTTTACACTTCTGTAAATCATCATTAAAAGCATATTATTGGTACTAACTTTATAAACGTCGGGACTGAAAAGGTCTTCAAGCTTTTATCTACTACCTACACTAATTCAGATTACAGCTGTGGTTTTTGTAGAATTTGTTTCGAATTTTGACAAATTATCTTTCAGTGGGGCATTTTCACATTCATGCTTTATGAGAATAAAGTAGAAGCTTTTATCTTCTGCCAATTTTAGTCATTTTGAGTTTTTCCTAATCTCTGCCCCAAAGTATTTATCTTTTGATTCAAAATGTCAACTCTAATTTCACAAGAATTATAGGGCTTAGGCCTTAAATTAGTTTGAATCAAGGTTTATTACTCATTAGGTCAATGCAAATGTCCTGTCGTTTTGATTTTAATCAAAGAGTCACAAAAAGATGTTTTTAGAAAGTAGATAAATTCTTATTTGAAATTTTTATTAAGCAATTAGGTTCACTTGGTGAGCAGCTACGAACTTTTCAAAATCAACGTGACAGAGTCTTCTGTTCAACCTAATAGATTTGATTTTGAGTGGAATTGCAGAACTCTTACGGGGTTTGTAAATTATTTTCTGAAACATAAAAACCCTCTTTGTAAGGCTTTTCTCACGTATATCAGCTTGTCGCATGTACTTTATGTGAATTCCCACATGTGTCTCTTGCCTGCCGAAATTTTTCTTGCTATAGTCAAGCTGTAGAAGCTTGTTCTTGCTCTTTTCTTGGTTGCTTCTCCTTGTTTTCTGACACATCTCTCGTTTACTTGAGTGAATCTGGAAGAGGTTTTTCCATCCTGTTTAGAGCGTTGGGGACAATCTGGTTTATCTTTGATTCAGCTTTGGTTTTTTCATAAATAGAATTTGATTTTTGCTTTCAAATCATCGTTCGACTACTAAAATAAAAACATTTGATCATAGAAATGCTTCGTGAACTCTTTAGTGTTAAACATCCAAACTGCAAAAAATATCGACATCATATTCAAGGAAAATTGCTTGAAGCATAATCGTGATTATTCTACATTACTACGAACGACACATTATGGGCTAAGGGGGGGGGGAGGATTTTGAAATAACAACAAACTGCAGAGATGGAGAAGCCAGATGTGCGTGCTTCATTGTTTTACTCGCTCGGTTCGCGCTTATGCGAGGGTTCGGTGATTGATGATAGTAGTTGAGATGTGCGCAGAAATTTATCGATGGCATTTCTTCCAGTGCTAGAGCTCGAATGCATTTTCTTTCCAATATTTTAGCTCCTGTAAAGTGTCGTTTTTCGGTTTGAAGAGAAAATAGACAGTTTATATTGTCTGATAAATTCTTTTGCAATCGCAAGATTCTTATATATGTCTTGGAATAAGGCTCTGCACAGGTGCCTTGTAAGCAAGCAAGATATCGTTTTTCGGACAAAAAGCTAAGGGGTTTCGTTTTGAGACCGAAAAGACACAAAAATGGCGACGTTTTCTTTAGTCGATGTTTCGTTTTTGGAGATTTTTTAGGGATTATGGTGGGGGGTCGAAGGGTACTTCGTAAAAATTCGCAAAAATTCAAGGGGGCTTCGTTTTTTGCATTTTCAACTAGTCACCTCTGCCGAGCCCTGCTCGGAATAATGAAAAAAACTTTACGAGTGTTGAGAATATTGTTTGGGCAATATGATCAAAGTTTACGGTTCAAGTGTTGTCGCAACAATAGTCTTCCCCGCTTTCATGAAACCCTGAAATTTGGGTTATTTGCAGAATAAACTGTTTTTTTGTGGACGTATAAAATATCAGGATGCAAAATTAGTGGGGGCTACAAGGTTTTGCGTTCGGGAAAAACTGATACAGATCATGTATTATCGAGCATAATGATACGTGCTATGACTCTTTCAAAATCTTCAGAAGTGGAAGCAACTAATTATTACTAAGAAAAATTTTTTTCTTCCTCAGAAAGCTTATGAGTGGGAGCAATTTTGAGTCAATACATTCATATGCTCCATTTTTATGGCCTCTTTTATATGCTATATTCTAACTGAATAGTGTCTGCATATATTTCACAGTTGTTCGAACTTGGATGTGATTTTTCCGTGACACTTTAATCCATTGGATCACGATTTCTATTCTCCAATCGATTCTAAAAAAGTCCAATAGTTGCAGGATTTTGAAAATTTCCGAAGTACCACAAATTCTATTTCACGCTTTGACTAAAAGATGAGTCTTCCAAATCTCTAGCGCTGATTTTGCAAGCATTCTGCACTACACTTCAGCACATAAGTTCATAATCAGTGCAATGAAAGTGCAAAAAAGTAACAAAGGGAGCCCCAAAGCGGTGAGCGATTTCCAACATTCAGTGACTATTACTCGACTAATGCTGCCTCAGTCAATTCTGCAGGTAAAATATTTGGTAGAAAAGTTCCGCGGTTTTTCTTTCATTCAAGGCTATAGAAGAGGTAAGAATTATGAAAAGCATTTTTTTTCTAAAATGAAATCGAAAAAACGCTGAAAAAATTTATTATGCAGAATGCTTTGATTTTTTTTCCACAAAAATGTGCTCATATTTAAACTTTTTCCAAACATGAATGCTTTTGTAGATCTATACGAAACTTCACAAGTAATTTTTCTCGTCTAACCTCTTACTAAAGTAATTGCATGAGATTTTCCACGTTTAAACCCTATTTCTTTTGAAATCCATTTCCATCAAATGACTTTTTTTACTCATCCAACACTGGTTGCACCACGCGGCAAATCGTGTTCTGTTATATTATTTATATATCCTATAATGAGCCCTTGAAAAATAGTACAGTCCCGCATTATTTCAATTTGTTTCCACCACAGCTGTCTAGTTGAACAGCTTTTCGAATTCTATTCGTGTGGAATAATGAATCTGTCACAGTCCTCTTTAACCTATTTTGGAGATTTTGAAGGTAGGCGGTTGTAAAGTCATCCATAACTTGATATCTAACTTTTCGGGATGTAGATCAAACAAAAAATCTATTTACTTAACATTTCTCTAACATGATTCATTTTATTTTTTCATGTTGTGTTTTATCATGGGAAAATCAGCAACGTTTTTGCCATAAATATTTCTTACAGCCTTACAGGATGAGATAAAATTTGTGTGATGTATTGCCGTAATTGACGTAATTTAATTCAATAATTCACATTCGTCCTTTTCCTTGCATTACTGTAATGTTTATATCTATATATTAGGCTGGAAACTAAGTTTTGCAACTGGTTTCATAACTTCACTCTCTTTGGATATGGCGCACTCAAACTTTGGCATTATGTAGAAGGCAATGTGAGCTACAAGTGAGCGCAAATTGTCTAAATTTTGAACACGAAATAGAAAAGTTTCAGGCGTTTTTCGAAAATTGGTGAAATTTGAGAATTTTTGGGGTTTTAAGCTAAAATGAAGCCTTTGGCAGCCTAGACCATGCGCAGTAATCCGGATTCGTCTATAAATTATTGCTGGAGGTTGACTCCTTTGGTCTATTAAGAAAAAAACAAAATTTGGGGGCATGTCGAGATTTGGCGTCCTCATAAAGTCGAACGATTCGATGTACGCAAGAGCTGCTAGGGACGACCGTCAATGACTAAAGAGTCCGATGCTCAAATTCCGCCGAGAGTTTACATAGTAAGACTATTTGACCTGCCAAACGCGAATATCACATTCATTTGTTGAATCAACGCCTTTTTCCTTGTTTAGGGTGAGACCCCATATCGTACCCCTACAGTAATCCTACAAAAAAGCCCTTATCACGCTATTTCACTATCGCTTTCGTGATCAGCATGTCGGATAACACCCCTATGCCAAGTTTCAGCCAAATCCGTCAAACTTTGAATTTTTCCCCTTCACACCATACACCTACCGTAACCCTCACTGCGACGTCAGAATTTGGTAGGACAGCAGCTGCGCTTGTAGCTTAACCAACGCAATGGCAAAATTTGAGTGCGCCATGTTGAGTGAGACGGAAGTTATGAGACCAGTTGCAAAACTTAGTTTCCAATCTAATATATTCTATACAGATTTTGTAGATCTAATTATTGCGTCAATGTCCTGCATTGGCCTTGCTTGAAAAGCATTTCACTTTATCATAGAATTTTCGGAAAAAATTTAAATGAAAGCGTTCAAAAAGCAGCTATTTTCTAATCAGATTTAATCTATAAAACCAACTGCAAATCCAACCACCTCAATGCTTACTGCTGTCGATTTTTTGTATAAATTTTACGAATTATCCAAAATTATCGTAATTCACCTAGATTTTATGAAAATACTCCAAATATCGCTACATGCTTCATGCAAGAGCTTTATGAATTTTTTGAAGCATCGTGTAAGTCAAAATGTTGCCAGGAATCCAGAAATTTACTTGTGTTTTCATGAAACTTATGTTCAAGCAACAATTCGGTGCGACAAATACGTCAAACAGCTCAAATGAAAGCAGTTTTGAAGTTTACAATTATTATAAATCGCTAGATTCTTAGCGTCCAGTGATGTTCTAGCTTCTTTTGAAAATTAGTTTAAAAAAGTTATAACATTGCGACGGGTTTGCGAAGATAAATATGTCGCAACGGAAAAATTTGTCGCAATCCGTTTTTTTTTCTTAAGAGTTAGGAGTCAGTTGTATGGAATGCGAGACAGAATCGCTGTGAACTTATCATCCTTCCATCCTTTGGACCTCGTGCTTATCAACAATTTTGAATTTTTTAGTACTTTGTCAATTTGCAGATTATATTTCATTACGAATCTCCTCGATTCAGTTTTTCTTTTAGGATATAATCTAGATGTTTTAAAAGAGATTATCATCATTAGTTCGATTACTGTAGAAAAATGAAGCCTGTCTATAGAATTATAATTTCCGAACATTTATTTCCAACCAAACGTTATTCAAATCTCTCGGGATAAGACGAGAAGCGTAAAAACGCTTTGAAACATCTGTCGGCTGGCATTTACATCTGCTCATCGTTCTCATCCACATTAGAATTGCTATAACGTTTTGATTTTCTCATTTTCAGGAGCTCTACCTACCTCGAACACATCTTCACCACAAGCGCCGATAATGTCGACGGACGAGAACAATCGAAGTGAAACCGTGGTAAGCTCTACTGTCATTATTTTTTCTCTCCCCCCCCCTCCTTTCAAATTTGCTGCTGTCAATGCTTACCTCCTCCCCCCCCCCCCCTAGAATTTCGATGCTGTTTCCCCCAATTTATCGTTTCGAAACCAATGATCCAAAGAGAGAAAGGCATTGTATGTATGCGGATGAAGGTCGCAACATACCGGTAATGAGCTTTGCTACGGTTATTGGTCACACGCTGGCGATTTGCCAAATCAGTGTGACGGTCGTGGGGCAATTTATGGGGAGGGGGGACTTAACCGTCAGTTAATCTGGTTCTAGAAGCACCCTGCGAGTTTGTCAGGGGTATTCAACTAGCAAAATTCTTAATCATTTTTAAAATAAAAACTACGAAAAATACAACCAACCTTTATTTCTTCTCATAATAATATTTATTTATGAGGTAGTTTTGGTTAGAGAATATATTGCTCTATTAAGAGGCGTTTTCGAATATAATTCGTTCATTTTTCATTTCAATTAGCTTTTCGGCTTCTGACTTCACGAGAATACTTTTTTTTGTTTTATCTTTCTACATTTCCAACATAAAATATTACTGTACAAAATTGCTGGCCATGCACTTTTCGCAACTACTCATTTACTGGTAAAAGCCTATACGACTCAAGATTAATCAAAGCTGATGGCTTTTCTTCCCAGTCATCTTTCCCAGACGGCAATTTGTCTATCGGAAAACCTCCATGTTGCTCTTGATTTATCGTCCTCCTATCCTATTACTCAATTTGCCCTTTTGGCTTACTATACTAATGCTAAAAATAGGAATTTCTCCCCATTTTGATCGTTTTACTTAGAAACTGAGCGAAATTTTCTGGCCTTTTTGGGGTCGACTCGCCAACATTTACGCAGAATAGAAAATTTAGGTGAAATGACTTAGCCGTAATTTAGTTGAGTTCGATCACTATATTTATTACATTTTTAAATTACTTATTACATAAATTGCTTGAATTTCTTACAGTTGTATTTTACACTATCTTACTCAAATCTCTTTTCAATCTAACCGCACTTATTATCATTGACTTGGCTCTACACTTCTTGCGTATCCCTTTACAGGAAAGAACAATGCATATGAAATCTCTTTTCTAAGGTTTTATAGTTGCCAGCGTTCAACTCCTGAAAGCTTTTATCTTCCTTTTGTTCCTAATTTTTTTCAAAAATTGCTTTCTGTCTGGAGAATATCCAAATGATGTGCCATTATCTGAAGCAAGGCAACCGCGAAAAGCAAATAAGTAGCGCAAATGCCTCTTCTTCAACAATAACATAGGCATTAGTTCAAAAAATCATTATACTTTTCGAAATTTTACTACATAAAATCTTACTGAATGAATATAAGTATTTTCAAACACAAATAGAGGAGATTGTATAAGTTTTCTTAATTTTTACGTGTATCTCGCAGCCCATTCTTGCACATTACTTGGCGGAATCTTACTTTATAAATTTTAATCTCATTCTACAAAGTTTAGAAACCAACGATGCGCAGGTTTTTCAACATTCTTACATGTGTTCTATCTTGCAGCCCATACGAGCCACTGCCCAATAATTCTACGAAATCTTCAAGACTTTTTGGGAATATTGACCTTATTTTCCCAGCATCTATCATCACTTAATTCAAAAAGTAAAAATCTTCATTATTTTCAGATCCCCGATAGGATGAGCGTCGCAGATCTTCGTCGTCAAATCACTTCACGCTTGGAAATGAAGTCTCCGTCGTCAATATCTGGTCCTTCAAGAACTGAAGGTGAGCGTCCATCAATGATTTATATCAAACCTAAATAGCCCATCGGATCATTTGCTTTTCCCCCTCAAAGTTTTTGGCTCAAGTTCCTCTCAAAATAATCTTTTTGGAAACTGTCGCAAGAAGTGGCTACTTTGATCTTCGTTCTAGGGCGGTCATGTTGAAATTGTACACCGGACACTTGTCATAAGGAAACAAACATCTATTGCGCTATGGAGTAATTCGATAGCCAATGCTTTGGCTATTCCGCCCAATTGTTGTTTACCCACGGCAAAATTTTATGACAAACACAGAGGATTAGTCCAAGATTATTCTGAAGATGTTTTCAGCCTCGAACTCACCCGTTCCTGGCCGAAAATTCTCGAGCGACTGTGTGAAAGTCCACGAAGGTTTCGATCAGGAGAACAAGAAGCCCTATTTTGGCAGAGTCATTGACGGACCGGTCCCGGCACACAAGTACTTTCAAGGGGTAAAATTTTCTGTGAATTCTAGAAATTTTGGTAATAAAAAAAAGTTGCTATCATTGTGACGCCAAAATCATGCAGAATACCATTTTGGCGTTAAACTTTTGTGCTAGTAAAAAGAACTGTGGAATCGTTTCAAATATTTCTTCTTCGGCGAGAGTTTTTGCTGATTATATGAGCAAAATTCCTAACCATTCATTTGACTGAAATTATGACTTCCAGGCTCTTTCTGGAACTCTCTATTTGGGATGGGGGGGGGGGACTCAAAACCAAGCTATGCAAAATAACGAGTTTTCATTATTTTTTGTTATAGGAAAGCAATACGCTCAAGTTATGCGGACAAAAGATAGCAAAAAAGTGAAGGAATTCTATCAAAATGTTCTCGATATAAGCGCATTATTCAATTAATTTGATGGACAATAGAGCAGCAAAAAAAGAATTTCAGATATTTTGATATAGGAAAGCGCATTGAGTTCAAGTACATAGTTGATGGGAATTTTAAAAAAAGTAAAGCAAATCATTCGACCACCCAGTCTTCCTGCTTTTAAACTAAAACTGTGATTTTAAGGTTTCTCGGGACTTAGTATTTCAGGTAGAGGTGGGAAAGGCTTGAACCATTTTATGCAAAAATAGCACGTGATGCTCAAGTGTGATGGATAAAAAATAGAGAAATGAATAAATTAGCTTGTATAAGCTTACTCTTTTCTAGGTCATGCCTCCCAGTGCAATATGTTCATCACCAGTGCAAAACTCAACCCCGGACACAAAACCGCCAACACCAGCGAAAACCTCAAAACGAAACTCATTCCTCAATCGCATGGCCAGGGAGCCTTCGCCTGTGGATGTCCCATCCCCAGCTCCCATCCAGGAGATTACTGAACCTCCACCCAGCTATAGTGAACAACCACCTACTCCTGGCTATTTGCCAAAAGCAGAGGAATGTACAACTCAAGCAATTCCCGATCTGGAGCCGAATCACATGGGAAATATCTCTGTCCTTACCCGCAATCCTCCATTCTCTACCCTAAGAAGGTCACCGTTTACCGAGAAGAGTTTTGACACAGTTTTCAACATGACACCAAGGTCTACTTATGAGAATTCTGGTACAATGGAGGGTAACAACGATAGGCAAGAAAGCGGTGATACGATACCTAAAGAGCCGGATCCTGCAACGATTCAAGGTTATGGTATGACAGGCCCTGCAACGACTGATGGTTACGGTGTGACAGGTCTCGCAACGAACAAACGTTACGATGTGGCAGGTCCTGCAACGAACACAGGTTACGGTATGACGGATGGTACCAGCTACGAAAATCCAAGGTCTGCCGGTTTTACGCAAAAGAATGAATATTTCCCTGAAAAACCCGACGATGCTAGACCAATCGAACCAAGTGTTTATTTTGCTGGAAATCACGACGCGATGGATATAGAACTTCCTTCTGTACCCAAACCTTTTATTCCCCCGGGGGAATATGATAATGCTCAAGCCACGACGACCCCCTCCACTCCGGGTTACCCATACCATCCTTTGGGACTTGACGACTTTAAGCCCTCATTTGAGACGCGACCATCTGAATATAATGAATCGAAACCTATCGCCAACGTCGATGGGGACTATAAGCCCTATCTTGATGGTCCGAAGCCACGACCCCTTGTCCTGGAAAACCCGGAAAGATACGAAAGCACGAGCAAACTTGCGAACAGCATAGCAGAACTTAGCAGAAATCTTTCTGAAGGCTATAATGATCCTCCCTTGGCAAGTTCGGCTATGGAAAAAGGCATCCTTCCTTTCGGGACCCGTCAGGAGGAGAATACGATAAATGATGTTATTGGAACTAATAGGAAGACTGGGGAAAGTTATGGAAATTTCATCTCCTCCACTGTCCGACCTGATGCTCAGAATCAATCTTATGGAAGATATGAAGACTATAAAGCCAACGACAATTCAGCGTACGAAAATTTTCCTCGAAACGAAGCGCTGCAATCGCCTGAAGAAAATTCTGGCATGCTGCTTATGAAGAAAGAGGCTGAAACAAACTTTCCAAACTTCGAACCAAGCAGAAATTACGAAAATTCGAATTCTGCAGCCATTCAGCCACTCACTCCGAGCCAGCCGAGGGGAAATTATGAAGATTTCAAAGCTATCAATAATGGGACATTTTTCCGGAATGATTCCCTTCAGTCTCCTGGAGAACCTCGTGGAATGCCTTTGTATAAGGCAGCTACCCTCACTTCTGAGTACAACTTTAACCCGAGCAATTCTTCCAAGGTTGAAAATATAATTCGTCACTACAGTGGTCCCACCACCAACGAACTTGGACATACCGCAGCGGCCCCCGATAGATTTGGGGAATTCCCGTCAATAAATAGGCCTTCTGACCTAGCAACATATCCAAGAAGATATGAAGAATACGAACCAGCTAAAACTCTAGGAGAAGTTGGGAGAATTCCTAGCGAAAGATATGGAGACGTCAAGTCAACGAATGACGTGATTGGAAGCAAACATCCTTCAGACAGCGAAAATCGGTGAGCGGATTTTGAATTCCAATTTGATTGCTTATATCTTTTCTATTCGGGCGAGCAGCCCAAATTCATTGCAGATTTGTGTAAAACGTAAAAAAAATTGTTAGTTTTCACTATTCTCTCAACTGAAATGACTTTTTGGCGGAATGATCACTTGATTTCATCCCCTTATTGGACGTAGAACAGAAACTCCGCCTAAAAAATAATCCGTAAAAGCATGGAAAATGGTATAAGGTCGCTGCAAAATTAATGTGTGTTTTTCTGAGCTCTTTTCCAAATAGCTTTTCCATCAAATTTTCCCTCTCGAACAGATATTGCAGCATTCGCAAGCTCTTTTCATGTTCGTTCCAGCTGTGATTTTTACAGGCTTCTAGGCTTATCCTTTGAAATTTTACGAAACTTTGAACAATTTCACTCAAAACCGAGATTCTGATTTAACTCTTTGGCTGGATCAAGCGTAAAGGAACGCATTCTTGTGGTGAAAATAGATACTGTATTTAATAAAGCTTATCTAAATTTCGCTCAATTAGTCGTAGTATTTTGCACTGAAGAAATCTGTATTGATACGATAGTTCCCAATGTTTTCGTACATTCAGTAGTTTTTGTTCGTGCTTCATTATTAGCGAAATTATTCGTGATTGTACGAAATCATCGCACAGAATTCTGAATAACATTATCAGAGCTTTTGTGTCTAGGATATAATGATTTTGCACGTTTTCGCCGTTCTTGTTGAATATTTTCATGTGCTTTTTTCTTTAGGAATCTTCGAAAAAATTATATTCTAATACAAGTTTTCTTGCGTTATCTCATTCGTAATAAAACGAATCAAAAACGACTGTTTGTGCTACAGTTTTTTGTCTTTTTTGGTGCATTTTACTGTGTCGAGTAAGAATTTTGAATAAAAAAACAAAAAAAATGATAGAAGTCAAGCGATGCGAGAAGTACATTAATAATGAATATAGCGCAATACTATAGTTCCAGCTGTCATGTTCTGTCATTAGAACAAGCTTTTCGAGGGTCTTTCTCAGCTGAAAACAAAGAAATCATCGTTTTTTTTTTTGCTGTAGTACTCGAAAAAAATCTGACTCCAGCAAAGTTCGATATAAAAGTGCAAAATTCCGAATTCTACTATTACTAGACAAAAAACGAGTGAAACAAGAGATTTTGGCGCTTTCGTTTGCGCAATACAAACTGCCGCAAACCTGCCGCAGAATATTGGCGCCATTTCTCCGCAAATACCCCCACCGTCCTACCCGAACTAGCAGTTTTTTTCATTGGGCTATTCATTCTTGGTGACTACGCCTTCAGAGCAATAATGTTTGCCTATTATCTAGTAGATTTGATGCTTAATATCGTGTTCTTGCGTCACTGACAACATTTGCGCTCAAATAATGGCAAGGTGTGCTCTATGGCCATTTTTCATGCGCAAGACGCAAGCAAGTTGTTGGCATTTGTAAGCATCACATTAGCTCCCGCGCAAAGTCGTCATCGCAAGGGCATTATACTGGCAGTAAAATCTAACCAGTTCGCCTGTAGTCGTAGATTTGATGCAATATCGTGTTCTTGCGTCAGTTCACATCACTTCCGCGCAATGGTAATGCGCGCTCTAAGGCCATTTTTCACGCGCAAAACGCAAGCGAGTTGTTGACGTTCATCAGAGAGGCATACACTTCCGCGTAAATGTTGCTGTTGCCGCAAGGACACCATATTACCTTAAATCATCCAGATTGCCTATAGTCGTAGATTTCATGCTTAATATGTAATTGCAATTGCGATATATCTTGCGTAGTCGACAGCATCTGCGTGCAAATAATATCATTGTGCGTTCTGCGGCTTTTTACGTGCAAAACGCGGCAAAGGGCATTTATTTCCGCGCAAATGTTGTAGACACCGCAAGAGCATTATAGTGCACAGGGTAATCTAGCCAACTTTCATTTTGTATATTTATCTTTTACACCTTAAACTGAAGGTGCGTCAAAAAAAGAAAAATGTTTCGAGTACTAGATAAACACAACTAGTCACTACAGAATGAAAATGTGGTAAATAAAAGCATTTTCAAACTTAAAAACATCTTTATTTGATGAGAAACAGCATAGGGCCGAATTCCACTCTTTTTGAGAATGATGTAGTCAACAAGAATATTGATATCCTATTGCAGGATATTCAGTTCATTGATTTGCAGAATGCCCGACTTGCTGAAGTCACGAAGCCCGGCTCCGTTCTCGTTGTCCACTTCGCCAAACGATCGAGCGCTTCCGCCATTGTCTGGAAGCGCCGTGAACCACGATGAGATGAGCGCTTCGTTCACAGAAGTGCTGGCCTCATTGAATCGTTCGCTGCCCCTATCAAATGTTTCGAATGTAACCAGCGACAGTGGCTACGATGCAAGGGAGGAACGGGCTCCTACGGAAAATTTGCGCTTGGACGGACAGCCTGCTTCTTCAGACAATGGCCAGTCAACCGCGTCGTTCCTGACTGCGCAAGAAGCACTCATCGACGACCGTTCGCCATCTTCGGCCGTTCCGCCGAGCACTTCCGACACGGAGATCCGCATCGAGAGCCGCGACAGTCTGCTAAGCGGATCGGATGGTGCCGGCGGCGTTGGCGCCGCCCCGGTCGGCAGCACAGCCGCAGCCGACGCGATGTTCGACCGCGGCGGTTTCCAGGCCGGTCCGTCGCAGCAGAAAGACGAGATGTCGCTTTGGTACAGGAACATGTACAAGAAAATGCACAAAATCGATGATTCTGAAGGTGCGTTGCCCCCCTCCCCTCTTTGTTCCCCTTCTGCCCCCCTTTTTGCACTTTGTGAGAGAGATTTATGCGTCTGTCTGTTGGCTTGTTGAATTTTGCATGCTCGGCCTGCCAGCTTATAGCCTTCTAAGCTGCATGACTGATTTTGACATTTATGACTCTGTCAGCTTAGAAATGCATTCGCTAACATTAGCAATACGTCGTTCGTACCTTGAAAAAAAAATCCTGCATCTAATACGAAGATTTCCGGAAGTTTTGTTGACATTTCTTAACATTCGCTCGCTGTCCAGTTCTTTTTGTACATAGCCGCTTTTGACGCTGGGAATAGCCAAATATTGATTGAATTTTTAGCTTATCTTTAGGAAAATTCTTCAAATTCAAGATAACAAGTCTTTCGAATTGCTTGTTACCTATTTTCATGCGCATAAACTCAACCAACACAACATAAGTAAATGCTGTATTTTTGACCCACATTGAATTTTTGATTAAGATCCTTCTTCTTTCTCCACGTTTTGTTTTATCCAGTTTAAACCGCATTTTTGAAATTTTGATTGAAATTTCTCTTCTCTCTCCATTTTTTGTCTAAAAAAATTGACTCAATCCACTGTCTTTGAAATTTTTGATTAGAATTCTTCCTTCTTCTCATTCTCTCTCAAATTTTGGATTTTGATTCACAGTTTTCGAAATTTTTGATCAAGATTTCTTCTTCTCTCTTCTCTTCTTGTCTAAATTCGATCTCAATCCACTTTTGGAAATCTTCAGCATTCTTCTTCTTTCCCCTCTTTTTGTCTTCTTTTCTTATGAGATTATTTTCTTCAAAAAAAATTTCTTATTCTTCTAGCGGTATATCTGTTCCTTCCTTCTATTCTTGTCCAAATTGCTCAATATCAATCCACTTTTGGAAATCTTCAAGATTCCTCTTCTTCCCCCACGTTTTCGTCCTCTTTGCTTATTAAACTGTTTTCTCAAAGAAAAAAACCTATTCGTCCCATCGTATCAGTTCCTAGAACGCAAGGAACAACCACACTTGATAACGTTTTCGTCAAATTTAATGCTCTCACCCCCCCCCCCCCCCCGCTGACACCTATTGAAACATTTTTTACGCTTCAAAGCTCTCCCCGTTATCGCATATTTCCATAGTGTTTATCGATGGAATTATAATATGCTGCCATTTGTGCCTGATTCCGTAGCCATTCTTATTCTTTCCCATTCCGTAAACATATTCCATTGTTTTGCTGCCTGTCTTGGGAATCATTTTTACTATTTGTTGGTCTTAAGGCGAAAATTCCTGAGCAAAAGTGTGAGTTTGAGTAGATGATGTGCACAATTGTACATTTTGCGCATTTTCAATGAAAGTTGAAGCTATAAGTAGGATGAAGTAGATTGCTCAAATAAATACCTAAAACAGTTAGCGAATTACAAAATTTGCATACCGATTAAATAGGGAAAAGGAGTTTGTGGTACTAAATCTTCTTGATAAACGATTTGATATAACAGAATTTTTAGTTAAAGTTTGTCAATGTATTCGAAACACTCGATGCTAAAAACAACTACAGAAGATATCTTTTTGAGGATGAAAATAGCCTTTGAGTACGTCAAGTTTACTAAACAGGGAGTGTCAATTTTTTTCATCCACTTGAATGGGTGTGGCTAGTCCCACATCCAGAAAGGATCCAACAAAAATGTCTTTCAAAGCCATAAATACTCCTGAATTTCCAAAGCTGCTCTGGGTTTTTAGATCGAAAAGCAAGTTGTTTGTGGTTGAGTATTATGCAAATGTCCAAAAGCGTCAAGAATTTTATTTTCGTTCTCCATCCCACATTTCGTATTTACCCTTCTGCCGTAGCTTACATATTGGAATATTGGGTTTAGAAAATGTAAATTAGAGTAAGGAGAAATCTGTGGGGATGATTAACAATCACGTGAAATTTCTGCACCACAGTTTCTAGGGTGAATTTTTTTCCAATAGAACCAAACCCTTCTTGCTACTATCGGTTCATTGTCTATATTCATTTTATTCATTTCACTTTATTATTAATTAACTGGTATTTATTTTGGTTATCAGAGTTACTATGTATCAACCTATTTATTATTCATTATTTATTAGGGTTCAATCTCATTTCCACAGCGGTAAATAGCAACAGTCAAGCAGAGTAAATATTCGATAAAGTTCAGTCGAGATTTCATTTGATAAAAACGATATTTTTGGAAAATTCTGTAGGGGTCGGAATGCAAGTTTATGAGATTTTTTTGTGCATAAAATAGCAGTGCTCCCGTCTATCACATACTTTGCTAATGCATCTTTTTCTGTCTCCCAGCATCTTTTTCTGAGAACTTAGCATAGCTGACAGCTGAGATTTACTTCCAGGCGGGTGCCATTTTCGGTGCATTTGCTGCCTCGAAAACGAGACCCGGATCTGGTGGCCGAGGCCGGGGCCCCGGGCAGCATGTAATCGGCGCTTATAAATGAGTGCTTGCAATGTGTATAAGTGGCTGCTTGCGTGTGCTTTCAAACACCAGCATAAGCAAACACACACAGAAGCAACGAAGAGCTCAGAACGAGGTCGAGAGGGGGGAGAAGGAGGGGGGGGGGGGAGGTGCTGGAGAAAGCGATGAGCAAGGCCAAGAGAAGGCACATGTCCTTGTTGCCAGTTCTCCCATATGGAAACGTTAAAATCTGTTTTTTGCTGTTTAATGCGGTTTGACAGCGCTGCTTATCGAAATGAAGGGAGGTGGGGGGAGGGGGAAGTGGAATTGGCATTTTTGTTCTTTGCAAATATGCATTTGTTATACATGCTTTTTATCTTGTTGGACTTGCAATATCCGTCGGATTTTTTTCCCTTCTGACTTATTTTCCAATAGAGTGGAAGGATGCGGGGGCTGACCGCGCTTCAAAATTTTGATGTAACCTTAGGACAGTGGCGTACCGATGGGGGGGGGTGCCTCCTTCCCCGAAATTGGATCGCGAAATTTTCGAAAGTTGCCCACACAAGTTATAACAATGTGCAAATGACTTGTTTAGACTTGTAAATAACTGAAATAATTTTTGTAATTTTTTTTTAAATTCAGTTTGCTTTGTAAAAATTTTTTTTGGGGCCGTGGCTGGCACCACTTTCTTAGAATGATTTCAGTTTGTTTTGAACCGCTTGATTAGAGCCTTCCCCTGGACATCTATCTAAAATCTCCATACCTTATGCCTAACTTTCTTGAGCTTGGCATTTTTAGTATATTATTACATTCCTCTTGTAAAATTTATTATGCAGTTTTCGGTGACAGCTTGTTTCAAACAATTTATGCATTTTTGGCGATTCTTAACTTCCGTCTAGTGCTAGGAAAAAAAGAGAATTGGAAAACTCTTCGTTTGTAATTCAACACCACGTTTCGTCCCTTCAGAGAATTTTCTGAACAAAGCAGATTCAACACATGAAGCTACTGACAATTCTTGGACTTTTTCTAGAAATTGTTGAAATTCAAAATCATTTGAATATTGAATTCACACACACTTTGTTTCAGATATGTTTGAAGATCTTTATTTTTTCCTGGTTTTTTCTGTTTTTCTAGAATGCTTTATCTATTCTGAGGAAACTGAAACAATGAAATTCCAAATGCTACTTCCATTCCGACCCCAATAATCTTCAAACGATGAATTTTCACTTTCTGTTCTTTCTTCAGCTAGACTCTCATGCTTTTTCTTTCGCGAGTGACTTTTTTGATATGGCCTCTCCTTCCAACTAATCTCAAGGGAAAACAGCTTGATGTCAGGGTCGGATTCATTCTGGCCTTGATTCTCGCGCTTATTTTTTCATTCTCAAACAAAATATCATGATAAAAATTCAAAAATATAATAATCTAAAACTGAATGAAAATCAGGACTACGATATTTCAAACTTGAATTTTTTTATATTATACATATTCCCTATATCCTGCACCCCTTTCCAACAATTAGTTTCTCTTACCATGATATGTAATTGTGTAATATAATAAGACTAGTTGACTTACCCGGCTCCGCCCGGCCCTGTCATTATTATATTCGTAATCAGCATGCTCGATTACCCCCCCCCCCTTGTGCCAACTCCCAGCCTCGTAGCTCAAATTTTGCAAAAAATCGATAAAATCGATATCGATCGATACGAAAAGTAGCCTATGACACCCGCCGGGGCCCGAAGTGTATGTGTGCCAAGTTTGGTCCGGATCGGTTCAGAAATAAAAATTTCTATTCGGAACATACGTACATACATACAGACAGACATACAGACATACAGACAGACAGACAAACAGACATTCAGCTTTATATATAAGATAAATGAATTTAAACATAAATAATGCATCCATTTTTCCCCTTCTAAATTCAACTTCCGAAAAGTCACCGATTCTGTAAAATTTGAAAAATGCTACTCACCACAACATCTGCCTACCGTAATCCTACAGTAAACTTCTCACTCGTTTTATCCTGTTCCATATGCAGTGAACTCCCGAACTCTTCCTGTTTATTCAAACGCATAGATTTCCATATATTTTTTGCCCAAATGCCATGCCGATAAAACAATTATCCCACGCCATCCAGACAATTGATTCACTCTCGCTGGGCTTGTGAATCTTCCATATCTTTCTAGATGCATGGTTTTCCTTGTTGAGCATGCTTTTTGGCTTTTTTACGTTAAAAAATTTAGTTGATGGGAAAATTGTATGTGTGAGTTGGTGGTTGTAGAATTAAACTGTAATTTTGCGTTTTTTAGACAGTTCCGTGTTGCGCCATCGTTTGAGAGAAGGCTCACCTGCTTCTACAATAAGTCGTGAGTTTTCGAGCTACAAAATCGTCTCTAATAGATTTATACCTCAAGAATTAATTTTATCTTTCTTCGCAGGACCCTATGAAATGCAACTGAGTTTAGCCTTCAATTTTCAGGTCCACTAACTCCGTTGTTACATCGAGCACCGAGTCCTTCTCGTTATGAATGCGAAGTGACACCGAGAAGGGCCAGATCTGTCGGACGAGTTGTCGAGCCGGAAATGCAACGTAAGCAGAAAATTTTCTTAAGCCCCTAATTTGATTTTTCTCAAGCTCTTGATTTTCTGAGCTCGTGATGCTTTTCGCATGAACTGCTCTGCACTGTTTATGTAAAGAGTGAGCAAGTGGCATGAAGGGCTCAGCACCTCCATCCTCTCTCGCTTTTGTTTGCTTCGAAGTTTTCATTAATGGTTTAATTCTCTAAAGCTATAAGGGCACCTTTTCGCTTTGATTCAGAGAAAAGTGCTATATTCTGTCCTACAAATCCCGTAGTCATAAACATCTTGCCAGAGAAAAGTTAGTTTCTATTCTATGAATTTTTTTTGCAATTTTTAGGCTCTCATTTTTCTCTTGTCATTTCCATCTCAACAGTAACTCAAGCATGATGTTTCTTGACCTGATAGGTTGCTTATCGATGGCAATTCTAGTCTCTGACTTACTTGATTGCCAAGGGCGAGACATTAAGAACTCAGAGTGCATTTGTCCTTCTTTGCTAACGCTTATGACTTCTTGGCGCTTTTCCAAATATTGCAGCAAGTGTTCATATGTGACTTATGACATAATTACCGAATCTTACTATGTATTCTTTATTTTATTGATTGATTCTTTTCAAATGTTCTATGATTCCACACCCTTTTGTTCTTCTTAGCAACTGAGAAATATCTTGGCTTTTTGTCACCAAATGTCAAGGCGAATTTTTGTCAGAACCTTCGGTAAAAAAAATGCTGGGTGGCAGCGCTATAGCAATAGCACATGTACAATGCAGCTAGTACTGCATTTATTATGCATTTTTGTTGGTAATAAGACGAGCAAACAAGTATCTTTGGAGAAATAGAAAATAAGAAGAAAATTCTCTTTGAATACTATTCTCACATCAAGAAACAGTTTCAAGGACTTCTAATTTTGTGATTTTGTACTCCGCTTTCTTGACAAAAATACTGAATTCATTTGCTATCAAGAAAGAAGACGTTCTTAGGAATTATCGATGCCTTTAAAGGGTATAAAATCAATTCTCTTGTTAAAGTTTCCTCAATATTGAAAGTAGTCATGAATCTTGTGTTCTAGGAATAATTGGCCAGTTTTGCAATTATTTGGTCTTTTTTATGAGTTTGCTTGCTCAAAAACCTTAGTTGGACTTATGAATCTAACCATAACATTGAGTTTGGGTTATAATCGTACAAGTTTGACGGAAGCTAAAGACATTGTCCGTCGGATTGGTGAATTGATACAATAGCTGGACCTCTAACTAAGTGATTATTGAAATCTCACTGCTAAAGGTGCATTCCGAAGCGAGGAAATCGCTCCAGAATATGGCTGCTGCTGAGGTCGCCACGCCCACCTCTGGGTGGTCCAGAGCTAGTAAGCCGGAAACTGGAACCCACAACACCCAAATATCGAAAGTGCGATTTCTGTGTAGAAAGACAATGACAATTTCTAGGCAGCAGCGCCATTAGCCCACCCATTGATGGGCGTGGCGACCCCAGAAGCAACGACATTCTGAAACAATTCTCTCGCTTCGGAATACATCTTTTGCAGCGGGACTTTGGCAATCACTTTATTAGGGGCCACGCTATTGCACTGCAACAGAAGCTAACCAATCTCAGATTTGGACGTTTGATGCCTTTTATACGGAATTTGTCACAGCTGCAGTGATTTATACTAACCTCCATAACCAACACTTTCTGTTCAGCTGCTCGCAACAGCCCTAACCAGTACGCATGCGAAAGAGCGCGGACTCCGCACTTTCACTTGCCCAGCTACAAATTCGCCCACGAAGATCCACGACCTCTGTTTGTCGAGTGTGGTTCAACGAACGGCGGCATGAAATGTTTACGTTGCGGTCTTCCACGAAGGGATCCGTCGTGGAAAGAAATCGACGACATCTTCGAGTCGCTCACAGCCTCAGATCGAAAACAGCTCAAACGAACGCAAGAGATACAGTCTAGGGTCGGTAAGTTCGCTAAGGGAGTTTGCTTAGGTGGTGTGAGACTAACCGCGATTCGCTTGTGCGATATCGCCACTGACTGCGATTCGATTTGCAGCTCTGCGATGCATCACAGAGAATCTGGATGCCACTGCTGCCGAGCTTTCGCTGTTTTTACAACGACTCGAACAGTACTGGAAACGATCCACAAGCTCTCCACAGCTCAACAATTGCGGTGCGATTAACAACACTTACCTTTACTAATTGCATAACTGTCGTTATTCTAATTCATATCAATTAACTAATCAATAATCATTCTCTCTGTTCATCTATTATATTAGGCTGTCCATAAGTCCTACACAAAATCTTTGAAAATTGTAAATGTGGTCCAAGATATCTGTTTAGATCAATTAGCTTGGTAAGAAAAAATTTTAATATTGCTCAAAGCAATTCATGTTGGCATATTACGATCATACAAGCTGATTATAAGATACACTCAAATTGTAATCTTGTTTTGGTCTTTGAAAGTAGATGTTCCTAGAGAATCTATTATTATTTTCGCTTGTGGACACCACAACCCAAATTTTTGCAACAATTTACCATGACATCTAAATGGTATGATTGGGTATGATTTGAGCCACAGTGACTTCTTTTTGAGTGTGGAATTTGTGGTGATTGGATGTTTCTATCAATGCCTATGATTCTCGGGTCTATTGAGTCATCATTTTTGGTTTTGAAAAAAATCTCTGATATATAAGCATGGTAAAAATCACCGTTAGAATATAAAAATATATAATATGAAATGGAACATTCAAATCAAATATATTTCATATGAATTTTGGACACTTTCTGGTGCAAACTTATGTAAAAAACTAATGAAGAAGCCTTTGGTGATTAAAGTATTTTGGTTATAGACTAATAGTGAAGTTGCAAGTTAAGGGCAGACGATTCCAATAATATTTTTGAGACAAAATTTGAAATGACTTTTTGAAAATACTGTGACTCTGTTCAATTCTCTTGCTGTCCACTTTTTCGCGAATTTTTTTTTTTGATGTCATGCAGTGTAGGAAAGACAAATAAAGCCGAAGCAGCTTGCTTTTTTCTCGAATTCCATGCGTGTATCGAATTTTGCAACCATTTATCATTGCATCGTAGATCGTACCGTATAGTGTAGATTGAGCCATTGTAACTTTCTCTTTTTCTGCTTTGAGAACAAGATAACCAAGCAAATAATTGGCTATAATAATCCAATGAATGGCTTAATCAATAAACCATTAATTTTTTTCTCAAATTATTGGGCCGGTCGTTGATACGTTAGTAAGAAAAAGATGATCGAAGCATTTACAACACATTGACGCATCCCATCCACGATATTTATTTTCGAAAACGATGGCAGTTTGCCAGCTAGTCTATTTTTGGTAGCAGAGCAGATAGAGTAATGAACTGTATGATTTGTATTCAACCTTCACGAAATTTATGTGGTTTTCCGGAAATACATATAAAAAACTACAGTGGGTTGCAAAACTAACCCTGAACAGGTACTCACTCAAGTTACATTGGGGCTATACGTATTGAAACTAGATTATGAAACTAAATTAAAGAGAAAACTATTTGAAGACGATAACTCAAAATTTAATAAGCATAGAGTCAAATCTACTGTTATGAAAATCTTATTTCTATCTTTTTGTGGCTTATAAGATTTTTATTTTTCGCAAGTTTTGCTACCAAGTCGTGAGTTTCAAGCAAGATTTTTTTAGAACAAGGTGGTTCTACCTCAGCATCAACTGCAGAAGAGCTGGCTGAATTAAAAAAGATCTCACGTGAGGAGCTCCTCTATCGCCACAAAGCAGAGAAGCTGGCTGAAGAGCTCCAAGAGCAACGCAATAGACGTCATGGCTATGTGTGAGCAAGTTTTTTTACAGGTCTTGGCAAGTCCCTCAAAAATTAAAAAATTCTTTTTAGCCCTTCTGCTTCGCCGTCTTTAGTGTACAATAAGGATAGATTTGGTGGATTGCTCGATGAGTACAGTAATCGCCCAAGTCCTTCACCGCTTCATCCTACAGCAGTTCGAACAGCGACTGCCATTTTCAAATTTGACGCCAAATCTTCCAGGTGGGTGGGGTCATAGCTACAGTAATTTTTCTGGACTGCAAAATTCATCCTGGAGAGCACTCTTTAGTATACGAAATGCTTTTGTTGTACCAATTTGTGAATTGAAAGATGGCGGAGAGATGTTAGCTCGCCCATTAGTTTTCTGTAAATATCGCATATTTTTGCCAATTTTTACTGCTATTGCAGGGTTTGAAAAATAAGTACCAGGAAATTTGTAGGGAGGTTCTGGAATTAAGATGTAAGGAAAGTTTATCAAAGGTGCATAGTCACGTCGAAAAAGTAGACACAAAATTATCAAAAAAGACGCGTCAGGGAAGAGAGGGTGGGGAGGGGGGGGGGGGATTTATAAAGATGCAGATGTGAAAATGGTAAGAGTAGAGGGGACAAGGGGGGGGGATTCTAAGTCTGTAAATGTGAGAACGGTGCCTTATTTTTTATTAGGAATGTTATCGATCATGTTGGCATTAGCTTTTTACTGCATTTTTTTAAGCATAGGGTTATGAACTAGCAAAAAAAGAATCAAAGTTGAAAAAAGTCTATCGCGAAACTTTTCTTGGCAAGCTATATATTTTTAGAGAACTCTCCCTAAATCGTGGCGATATCATTCGACTGAGAAGAGAAGTCGATGACAATTGGCTTGAAGGAGAACGAAATGGTCAAGTTGGAATCTTCCCCCGTAGCTATGTGCAGGTCCGTCAAAACTTATTTTTTCCCAATTTTTTTTGTAATTCCGCGCACTTCCCAGCAACTCACAGTTTTGTTTCTGATTGACACATGAATATTTATATCCTCATGGCGCTTCCTGTCAAGAATCAATCAAATCTAGCAATTGTGGCTAATTTGTATGCAATTGGCTATTTGTAGATGGATGACGAATACGATCGATCACGATTCAAAATGAGAGCCGTATACCCGTTCACGGCTAGGAATTCCAATGAACTCAGCTTGAAAATGGTAAGTATTGGGGGGGGAGGGGGAGGGGCAATGTCTTTGCGAATCGTAAACATTTTTGCAAACTAGACAGAGTGCGGAAAAGCTGAACATGATTTGGAAAATATGGAAATAAGAACGACTGTTTTTTGCTTACACCTCGTAAGAAGGCCAGATAATGATCAGAGATCTTGCGCGCGAGAGAGATGCAGACTGCGTCGCGGGCGCGAGCTGCCTTAATTAGGTCACAAAGCCCCACTTTTCAGCCGCCAAGCCAGTTGAATCATAGGTTATGTGCTGTAAACAAGCGTTGATCTGGGAAGCGCTAATACAAGTAATAAAGAAGAATGCTGATTATTCTAGCACAGTTGCTTAGCGATTTGCTAGGGCTAGCTTCAGGTTCATACAGTTACAATTTTTTTATTTTTTGCTATTACTTACTTAGTTAGTTGCCCCGCTATTGCATCTCATCAAAAAAATCTCCGACCTCCATCATCTCATCACCAAAATCTCGAAAATCTCCAAGTCAGATTCAAGTATATGATACTTCAGAAACTCATGAACTTTGTTACACTGGTTTGGCGGCTGGAAGGCGGGGCTTTGTGACCTAATTAAGGACGCTCGCGCCCGCGACCAGTCTGCTTCTCTCCCGCGCCCGTGGTTTCTGATCATTACCTAACCCTAATTAGGTCGCGAAACCCCGCCTTCCACCCGCCAAGACACTTGAATCAAAAGGTATCTTCACCACAAGTACGATGGAATGATTAATCGTTTGCAACAAGGGCTAGACATCGAGCAGTCTCCCGAGACTGCTCTCATAAATAACCCGTGTGAAGCTGGAAATTTTTTTGAAAAGCGTTCAACACGAAAATTGTTGAGTTGAAGTTCTTCCATTTAATTTCTATATTTAGGGTGAATTAGTCACATTTCGTCGAGAAATCGATGAAAATTGGATCGAAGGAACAAATTATCTTGGAGAAATTGGCATTTTCCCTAGTGCATACGTTAGACAATTAGATGACAATAGGCAAATGGAAGTGAGTTAATGTTTTTTTAAATTAATGTGCTGTTTTTCCTCATATTGTTTCTATTTTCGGGTTTTCTCCAAAAAAATAATCTATTGTTATTACTGAGTTGAATTTTGTTGTTTAGAATGCCATAACATCTCCAGATCGACCAAAAACACCGAAAATACTCGAAAAAGCGGAACCATATGGCGTGTTGAAATCGTATGTTTATATTTTTTACAAATATTGATTTTCTGAAAATTTTTGCATTTATAGAAATTCTTGTGGTGCTCTGAATCAATCCACCTCCACATCCTATCCACAGACCTCGAATCACATAGACGAGCGACTGTTACCAAATGCTAGCAGCGAAAAGTACGAGAATACATAGAAAATTCGGGAAAAATCAAACTTCAAAAATCGGTATTTTTTCAGGGCATTATCGGACGAGCACTCCAGGACGAGCAGACAAACACGAGACACTCGACCGGAGGGTTTCTTGTGTACAGCCGATAAAATACCACGAGGAAGCCAAACGTAGGAAATTTTCCGAGCATTTGCGCATTGTTGATATTAGTCTCTTATACTTGAGCAAATGAATAGATAATTTGTGCAAATAAACGGATATAAGTGAAAATCCCTAAATTTCATGGCTTTTATCTAATAGAAGGTCCCCAATTTGTTACTTGCAAGTTCTAATTCAAAAGATTTGGGCCCTGCCCTTTCGTGCGGACAAAATACCATGAGTAAAATGTCAGAACTCGAGCATTTTTTATCATCGGTTTTCTATGCGTCTCAAATACGAAACTTGTGAAAATTTGATAAAAAAGTCCGGAAAACTTCCATTCTTCTGAAATTTATTTGGTTAAATCAACATCAACGAGTACTTTGGATCACATAAACAAAAAAATTCTGTCTAGCTCTCTCCGCATCAATGAGAAAGTTTTTTGCTGTCATACAACGGAATAAAAAACCTGATAAAATACCACGTGGAAGCTAAACGGAAGATTACCCTAGTTTTTTGTTTCTGAATACGAAATTTCCGAAAATGAATAAAAATTGATAAGAATTTTCACATACTTCTGAACTTTACTGGTGAAAATGAGTTTTTCACATGAGCTTTTCTCATTAGTTTGAAAGCAAGAAAATGCCTCCTTTTTACCGAAAAGAAACTTTTTCAATTTACATCTAATCAAAAAAATTGCAGCTATCGAGCCCTCTATCGATATGTTCCTACAAAAGATGATGAAGTAGCTTTGGAAATTGACGATATTGTTTTTGTTGTCGAAAAATGCGATGATGGCTGGTACATTGGTTAGTTATTTTGTTTCTACGAAAATTTGAGTAAAGATAAAATTGCATGGCTTTTAGGAACGGTGTTACGAACAGGACAGTTTGGCACGTTTCCAGGAAACTACGTCGTAAGGCATTAGAACTACAGCGATACGATTTTTGTACTCAAAGCACAAATAAATCTATTATTATTGAGTCTTTGAATTTACATATCTTAGTGCTTCCTCGAAACTTGTTTAACAGTAATAATGTTATTGGAACATATCTGTACCAATAAGACAAAGCAATAATTCACATTCTACATTATATTCTAGAGGTTCCGGGTTACTTTTAGGGGCAAAATAAGCTCTATAATATGTTATGTAAATATTTGCACTGACTTTAACCCATGCGAAGTTGAGGGCAAAACGAAATGATTCGAACTTTGATCACAAAATCGACAGATAATCTACTCTTTGATTCGATTGGATTGGCGGCTGGAAGGCAGGGCCTCGTGACTCAATTAATGCTGAACGGTAATCGGAGAGCACGTGCGCGAGAGAGACGCAGACTGTGTCGCGGGCGCGAGCGGCCTTAGTTAGGTCACAGAGAACGGCCTTCCAGCCGCCAGTCCAGTTGAATCAAAGGTTAGCTACTGCGCGTATATTGAGTTGGTAAGTAAGTTTTGCACTTTTTCCCTAATCCTTCTCTTTTTGAATGTAGCGCTCTCATATGGCATTTTATAGTTTGTGATGTAATCGAGACTGCAGAAATCTTTAGTTCTTTGATGACACAACAGAGATACTCCATGCAGTTTTCAAAAAACTTATAAAATTCGAGATTCTACTATTTTGAATTGAAAAAGTCGTGCACAACCTAGATCATACATAAAACGGAGTTGTAGACAACATGTTGCTAGAGGTTGCAAGATTTACTGAACTCAGTAAAAGGGAATGTCTTTAAAAAATCAAGAACAGGTGCCCTGGAGAAGTTGCTCTCGCCAAATGCGTCAAATTCGGAGGGACATCCGTCAATAACTGAGCAGCAAAACCCAGCATTTGTCAAGACTCCGCATAGTGGTGTAACTCACGATCAGTATGCTGAACACGAGCATCGTACTCATTTGTTGCTACCCTATTTTCAGGCATATAATCGCGGAGTTGTTTTAGCTTACATCGACCAGCCCAAACAAATCAAAGGACCTCGCAACCAAAGGACCCCACACTGTGCTGCGTATAGCCTGAAAGAATCGTGCGGCATAAGGATCGCTTCTCCAAACACAATGAAGCAGCTCGTGGGATATTTGAGAAAGTACGGCTTATACACCTAAAATAGGGTAAGTAACCTGATGCAATCTGAAATTTCCTACCTTATCTAGTAAACCTATCATACTCCTCACATATTCGGCAAAAATGGCTGCATTCATAGCTCGCCTCGTCTTTATACATAAAACTGAAAGTTTTTGACTACAAAGTTCCTATGTTCGGAATAGAAACTTTGTGTGTGAACCGATAGGCGCTGCTTTGAATATATGTTTTCGCATCCCGGCGGATAAACATAGGCTACCTTCGCTTCGCTTCACTGAGCTCTTCTATCAACTTATTGAATCATTTAACACATTGACGACAATACGACCCACCGGCGGGTCGCACGGATCCTGCCATTTCGGACAATACGACCCACGGGTGGGTCGTAAGTTTGGCAGAGCAAAAAAGGCTCCTGTCCGAAATGGCAGTAATCGAAAAATCGGCCTTGTCGTCAATGTGTTAAATACTTGCGAGGAAATTGAAGCTTATCAATCAGCACTGGATCTTCCTCCATGGTAATGTGAAGGAACGGTAGAAATTTACGCAAAGTCACGAGAAGCGATCACGGTGAATTGAAGTGGAGTTTTCACGAGTTAAGTCATCCCAACGGGGGATGGAAGGGGAAGATTGTCGCAGTGCAGTAACTATGTTGGCGACAGGCACACCATCTACCTCCTTTCCAAGGAGTAATAGTCCGGGCTGGACCGGGGAACAAGCTAGTTTTTGTGATACCAAAGAATGAATACGCTACACCCAAAAAGGCAAAAGAAGTTGCGTTACTTAGGCACACGCCATACTTGATTCACTTGATTTGCTTGATCCACTTCATCCACTTCGCCACTGGTCAACTGAACTGACTGTGCCTTATGGCCGATCAACTGCATTCCACATAGAACCAAGACAGTCGTTGTTTCTAAGAAAGCAGATTATTCCTAGGGTATCATTAGACGCAAAAATGGTCTGAAGACTGTATCAGTTTCATTTACGAGACTTCCTTAGTTTCAAGCAAATGGCAGATACTAGCCCATAGAAGAATCGCATTGCTTTGTTTGTTTGTTCATAATGATCATAACACAATGTGATTCATACAACTTCAACTCATTCCTTATCTCGTATACTATGGTAAAGCGCACAATCACAGTAACAGGTGTTGCCCCACATTCCACAAACAGCCATGTCTTCACACTATTACTTTGTGCTGATTCTATACCTAAGTCACATCATCGTCTCCTGTTCTGGATTTGACGCTATTACCACGAAAAGCACCTTACTGGAAAAGCTGATTAAATCCACGAGTCAAGGTGATGATTGCCCGGGACGCTCTCCATTGAGACATCTGTGTTTGCCCTGCAAAGCTGTCGTACATTTCTGGCAGTCAACGATAGAAAACGAAGTCATAGTTCGGAAGGTTTGTGCAAGCGAAGTATTCTATCCTACAGTCGAGTAGATTTTCCTCTTAATATAGTGCTTGCACAGAAGGTGAAATGCAAAATTTGCGCGTGAACAAATAGCTTCGACTGTGACGCCCGCCAACTGCGCGCGCCAAATGCCGGCAGTACTGGTGTGGCTATTTATTCACACGCGAATTTTACCGCATTTCACCTTCTGTGCCAGCAAACCATATTAAGCGGAAAATCTACTTGATTGTACTTAAATGTCACTGCACTTACAAATTGACTGTTTTCACTATATAACAAAACGTAAGGTCGGATTGATGCGAAATTACTACCCTATTTTCAGATGTCTAAGCCGCACCCTTTTTGCTCTAAAAGCGAGCAGACCCAGGCGTGCCGCCGCGCATGGTCTCGCGAAGCGGTCGCCTTATCGCATACTGCTCTCACTTAACGCGCTCCATGATGACAGTCAGTCTTTTGGCGTGTTCGCCTTTAGAGTGAAAAGGGTGCGGCTTATACACCTGAAAATAGGGTACATGTTTTTTGGGTTAATATGAGTGCCTACACACTGTGCGCTGCAGCCAACGACACCTTACTAGGTAACCCGTTGATAAAACCCCTCCTAGCAAAACCAAGTGCAGAATTGTACCACGGTCAAATGCATATCATTAAACCAAGAGAGACTGGAGATGAATATCAGCATCTCTACAAGTCGTCAAGTAGCGCGCATGGTGTGTAGTTTGCATATCAAGTTGCATGCGAAATCACGACACAAGACAAGTTTTTTCATCAATAGCAGATATTCATATGTTCTGTTTTGAGTTTTTTCTCAATCCATCTTCCTCCATTTGGTAACATTAGTTGGCGAATGAATATGAATGTATACCAGTAGACGCGCCTTTGAACGCTGATTCTAAATCTGCTTTCCCTTTTTGCGGAACAGGTTTTCGCGTTTGAATGTCCAAATTTGTCAAGGTTTAAGTGGCCGGCCTAAAATTGGCGAAAAGCTATACAAAAACACCGGAAAATGGGAAATCATTTTTGTATCGAGTATATTGTTTGCAAGGAAGAAACAAGCCGGTGGAAATCGCACTGGTATTGTTCTAGAGCTTTTCGTTGATTTTAAGCCTCTCAATGCTTGGCAAATTTGGACATTCAAATGCTCATAACTTATTTCGGAAACCTATTCCGCAAAAAAGGAAAGCAGATTTGGACTCAGCGTTTAATGGCGCGTTCAGTGATATACATCCCATCTTCAGTCGCCGACTAATTTTGGTATTCTTTCCTTATTAGACGAAACCTACATATTTATTCTCTCTTATAGCTTAGCAATATTCATAATGAAACTGTCTTACTATTAGGACATCTTCATTACTATTATCTAAGAAATCAACTTCTGAAGGGACAGCTCGTTTATTCCATGCCAAAAATCTTGTAAGTGAATAAAGCACATTTCTGCGAGCAAGACAACTTGTTAAAGTCTTTGCTAGACAGCCGTTCAGCGTGAAAATAAAATTTTCGATCTCGAGGCTCGACTGCCGCAACACGAAAGAGCCGACTATGTCATAATTCTACATTTCATTTTCGCAAATTTATTCTACTTGAGCCCAATTCAGTCTGTCTCTTTTCGTCCTCAAAAAACGAAACTGCAAAACGCTCTCTTTTTTTGCCACATATATCAAAAAAATGAGTGACTTCTCAGGCACCAGTGCCAGTGAGCAAAGCTATTTTCATAAAGAAATATTTCCGTAGGGTGTAGGTGTGGTACTAAATAGCCCCTCATGAGTTTCCGTTAAAAAGGTTCGAATGCACAAAAACTCGAAGTAGTCGTTACCTGACATAATACAGATAATTCGAGCTTTTTTTCTATTATGTACATTTCCTTCAGAGCATGATCCAAACTTGTTCAATCGTACTGCACCCACACAGCTTTCTTTGCAAAGCTGCACTGGAAGTCTTTTTCTTGTTTATGAAACATACAAGCGATGAAAGAGTAAGCCTAGTTTTCCAATATTAAATGCTTCTATTTAGTCTTACTCTATAACATATATACATTTAGATCTGTCAGCATCTCCTGATCTGCGAGTTGAATGCACATCCCCAAACAATGAGCAGTCAAGTTTTGAATGCACATGAAGACAGTGTTCTTCAGGTTTGTGAGCGAAAAGTACAGTGTGCCATGCCTGATTTTACATTCTAGCGCGCACAGTGCCTTGAACAAAGCACTTTTTACCACATTACTTTACAGATATTGAGAAACAAAATTGTCGGAAACTACAATAGTACGACAGGATTAAGCACTAAAGAAAAGAATGATCTAATCAGAAGAGTTGCCGACAAGCTGTTTACTACTACAAAAACTTCACATCTAGAAGAGGTGGACAAAATCAACCTGTTATCTCTTTTCCATAGATTTCTTGATGCGGTGGACTATCACTTTTCTGCAAAACAAAGTTAAATAAATCTTTGTGTCATATGTTTCTGAATTCAGGATATTCTTTAACTCTTGGACCGAGTCGAGAGCCATCGCGGGCTTATCTGCAACTTACAGGCACTGTCCATCCAAATTATCGACTTCCATGTTTTGGTCGTTCCGGGGCCTTCTCATGCCTCTGATTTCGAATATGAAGTCGATAATATGCGAATACTCCGGCAATACCCATTCCGAAGAACCCACAGGCCGATCCTTAGCGCAGGCCGATTCTCAGCGGTGATTGGATGGGCGCGCACGGATGGGCGGGCATGGATAGGGAGGGCGGTGCAGTCTGGGGGTCCTCGTGCACCTTCGTCATTCCAGCCATTTTCTCGCTTCCGTGCGATATTCTGCTCGCGATTTGGGCATTGGCTTGATAGGGGGCCTTATTAACATATGCTGCCTAAAGCTCAAGACCCATTTGAAATACTACCTTAGCGGCGGGAGCGGCATCCCCAATGATAGGAAGCCGCAACGGCGTTCGTCCGCGGCCCCTTCATGGGGATGTTAATGCTTAAAGGCTTAAGTCCCAGAAATTACTTACGCAGCATATGTACCTTGAAAAATTCAGTGACACTTCATCTACAAAAATCAAAAACTCGAAATTTGTGCAAATATGACATGTATGTGGTCTATAGACTCCTTGAACTGCATTGAGCTAAAGCTTTGCACCCTGCAAGGGTCAAAAAAATGCCTCGCTTTCTGATCATTAATATATCTTTCCTTGCAAGAGAAGTTTTCAAGGCGAATTTTGCCTACCTATAGGTGCCATTATGGAAAGCTAGCTTCACTTTACCAGGAAAGAACCCGAACTCACTGTGGCCTTTTAGATGAAATGTAGATGAAAATATTCGTCTCGGAACGCTGATCTATGTTAAATTCTGTGTCTCCACTGCAAAGAGATTTTCCGGAGGAAGTTATAAACGTTTTCCGATAACAAAGTTGCGCTGTTGCAGATTCAAAATGGCAATGCAGGGATTTTTTTTGCTTTTTTTTCTTGATTTCGAATCAATAGATACAACTGCAGATCATTATTGATGCTGCTCCAAAACATAAAGCAGGCGAATTGGGACTGATAATTTCAACTGTCTGTTGCACACAAAGTTCATCAGAACAATTAAACTTTTCTAGAGAATTGCTTTGACGAACATGGGGTTGAGACCAGCTTTACGAGACAGTAATTTTACATCACATATGAGGGCTGCGATAATTTCAGGCCCTTCCCTTCGTGCATTTACAGGATGTAGCGAATTAGAGCACTGTTTGTTGATGTGACATCACTTCACTGTAGAAAATTTGGAACAAGTCCCATTGGGTGAACAAATCTGTGCCAAAAAAGGCTTCGCAAGATCTGAAACTTTTGCTGGAAACTAAATCTGCGTTCAGACTGACACAGGCTTTGGAAAGTACGATCTTTGGTCAAAAAGCTAGGCCAGGTACATTTAAAAACAAAACTCCCCAATTTTGTCGAATAATTGATTGCGCTATCTAAGCTGCTTTAGAAAGCTGCACAGAGCTACTCGCGCGAACTAGCGTTTCAAAAACCTCACCATTGCACGTTTTCGTGAATTTCGAGAATTTTATGGAATTGCTGACTATTGACAAGGGCGCTATCATGCTGCAAGTTCCTACCGTAATCACTGTGATGAAGAACAGTCGCCAAATTAATCAACAATATCGCTCGATACTGCAATTCTGAGTCGAAGTTAGTCCCACAAAATAAAACCTAAAAATGTCCAGAGGATCAAGTAGGGACATTTTGGGTGTATGTCAAGATATGTCAAGAGGCGCGATTTTTATTGTCAGATGGATACTAATCAGCTCATCTTTAGTACCTTATGAAGTTCTAGGGCAATTTAATTTTCGAACAGGATATGTATGATTGTCCCATGGGTTTCTCGATTTTATTATTTCGAAATAGATTCAAAACATGACTGTTAGAGGTCAAAAACCCACGGAAATGCAACTAATGACGTTTTTGTGAATATTTCAAACAAGTCTTTACCAAAAGCCGTCAGACTTAGCAGTTAGTAGTTAGTAAACCAAGGCCCTTGTCTGATATCTAATATATAAAGAATCGTAAGCGCAACTCAAAAATGTGCACATGGCGGGAAAAAACGTGGCGGTCCGGGAGCGCGCGCATGCTACTAGCACCTTCAATTGCTGGTTCACTAGTCTAATATATAAAGAATCGTAAGCGCAATTCAAAAATGTGCACATAGCGGGAAACCACGTGGCGGTCCCGTAGCGCGCGCATGCTACTAGCACCTTCAATTGCTGGTTCACTAGTCCTTACTCAGACACTCGCGGTTGACTCGCGCAGGGCAAAACGATGTGTAGCCATTGAATGCGTGGGCGACTCGCGAAATCGGTGTCGCGGCAAAATCAGGACACCTGATTTTGTGTCGCGGCAAAAGTGCGCGGCAAAATCGGGGCAAAATGGGGAGACCTGCGCGAGACGCCAGAATGTCGCGATCGCGTTCAGAGCACGCGGTCTACGCCCTTACTGACAGCTTTTTGCGTCCTCTAAGCCCTCTCTCACGCCTTCCTTTTGACTTACCTTGAGTCCTTGGTCACGTTGGGTCCCGTTTCCCACGCTTGTTTTTTTTTCTGCTGATAAACCCAGTCTTACGTCATAAAATTTATCAGCAAATACCACATGATCTTCTCGAGTAGCGTTTACAATAACATCGAAATGAGACAGGAATCAAAGCACCGCAATCACGACACAAGGTTACGAAAGAACTACGGTTAAGAATGACAACAGCATTAATTTTTTACGACTACTTCATCTTCATCTTCAACATTTTCAGTCTTCTGGATCGTTACGCCTTCTTTGGTAACACTGCTGCCTTCGACCATGACGCGCTTTTTCTGAAAATAAAAAATTATTGTTACCAGGATCGTATAAAACAAACGAATTACCTTTGATGGAAGGAGCATGGACCTATCAGGGTCAAAATGATACCTCCCGATGTCTTCCCTGCAAAAATATAGTTCAGAAGTATCGCTTTCCTTATGAGAAAACTCACAAAGCTCTCCCATTTGCTATCCTCGCCTTACCGCTCCATACTACTCTTTCCTCTGAGAGGACGTCGAATAATTTTTCGCAAGCGTCGTCATTTTCGGCTAAGTCCAACCACCACCTAAATTCTAGTGCACATGAAGGTCTTTCTGAAGGTCCATGCTCAAAACACAATAACGTGATTCAAAAAATTGCTCTGAGCTTGCTCAAAGCCTTTGCTCCTTTCGAGTGGTTTGCGCAGAACTTCGCATGGACCGAACTTTCTAGCTAGCTACCCCACTACCACCTGCGGCGAAAACATAATTGCAAATGATGAATAAGCTTCCCATCAAGTATCCATGTTGATTGTACCTGTTTTACATGTTTTTGATCCAACTGATCTACCAACATTGCCCAATTCAGAACTTTGCACGATTTTTCCATTATCCCCGAGATTTGATGTAATTAAGTTGCAATGAGGGTTTCCTTGCCTTAGGGACCTTCTAATATAACCTTAAACAACTTGCAAAGATTGTGGCTGCAAAAGTGGTCCGAACTCTTTACCACTTGCTCCATAGTCTCCGCAGGTATCCACTCGACCACCCGTCCACATCTGCATGCCCTTGGCGCCGCAAGCTCAATGCGAGCCTTAGCCGCATCTTGGGTAAACCATCGCTCATAACTTTGCCCAGAAAATTATTGAGCAGCTAAGGATCACGAATTTGGCATTAGGGCCCCAAGAGCAGCAGAATGATATGCATCATGTGTGGAAACCCCACTTCGATGGAGATCCTTCCCTTGTAAGTAAATTCCGAATTCCGGCTAAGCCAACTGTCAGAAATGATGACGTGCGGGATGAACAATGTGCATAAACTCTTTCATCTTCCGAATTGAGTACAAATCACTGAAAAAAAAGGCGAGAGTCAAATGAGTGATTTTTCTAAACTCGTGAGATGCGGTACGATAAATGTGAGCTATGCCAGGTAAATTTTGAACTGGAATTGTGTACTCTAAATAATATGGAACTGGAACCGGCAATATTGATGCCAGTTTTTGCACAGAGTTGAACCGTAGATGACATTCTTCATGTGATGAAAAATCTGCTTTAAGAAGTTCAGAAAAAGCATTACAAGCAACCGCAGTTCAAAAATCGCATAACCTCCAAAATTTCGAAAATGACTGTCTTGTAAGCTCATACCATTTTAAGAAATGAGCAACCGCAAAAGAAGAACATTACTTTCTCAGTTTCATAAATAAAAACATGCCTTCTCATTCAGCTCTTGCACGGCCGGAAGACCACTATCCACTTGTGAATCGACATTCTCGCGGCTTTCATCATTGTCATTAACATTCTCTTCTTCCTCTTCTATAAAATCTTGGAATGAGCTTATATCATAGGTGAATCATGGTAATCATAATGCGGAAACTCTTCCGACCTCCTCAAGAACAGGATTATGCTTAGGTCGGCGTTCCCTTCTTGGCTTCGGGGATCGCAACGCAAAATCGTCATCCCATTCGTTTTCGTAAAAGCGCTTGAAAACCAAAATAGTACACGTTAGCATAAATACTCAAAGTCCAGTAATCAGCTAAAGTAAGCAAGCAAAACAATCTAAGAATGAAATATAACTTCTAGAAAGAGAGAAAAAGGGTTCACCTTTACTTCCGGATGATGATCAACGCAGATAATGGCCGTGTGATCAGAAGGACGCGTTCGAAATGAGCGTCTCAAGCTGATTCTCTTTGGTCTAAGCCTGGTTTTTATCGGCATGGAACGTCTCTGGAAAGACATGCTTTGCTAAGTATAGATTCATCTAAGAAAAAAAACAAATGCAACAAATGCAGGGAAAAATTGATCAATACGTCGACGTATAGGTGCGTTATTTCGAAACCTCCTCGCCCGTCGCGACAAAATCGCACCAAAATCCGGACGAAACTAAAATGATGACTCGCGCCGGTCCACCGGATTTTGCCGCGAACGTCCATTTTGTGGGCGGATCCCTTGCGCGAGTCAACCGCGAGTGTCTGAGTAAAGGCAGCGTACACCCAAAACAAATGCAACAGATGTTGCAACAGCAACTGCAACTGCAATTGCAGCTTACGCTGTTATGGATTCGTCCGGAGGAGGCGGAGCGAAAGAAAACGGGCAGCCTGAAAGAAAATTGAGGGGGGTTTTCTCCGCTCAGAAGCAACTTTGGGAGACCGGACCAACGCAGTTGGTCTTCTTCTTGGCCCAGTATATACACGGTGTAGAAAGATCTAGGAAATTCGGTAACTCAAATTTTGGGTGTACGCTGCCTTTAACACGTTTCGGACCGCGAAATCGCGCGCGGCAAAAAAGAGTGTACTTTCAGCCGTTAGCCTACAAAGGGACCTTATTTCGCAGCCTGTGGGCCACATTTGTAATCAGCATGTCAGATAAGCTCCATATCCAAAGTTCTGAGTGAATTCGAAGTGTTTGAATTTTGTCGCTTGAGAGGGACTTTTGTGCTTTCTTGAAAGATAGGAACAAGAACTCAGATTCTAATAGTATTCAAAAGTATCTATGTTGTACACGGTACACATCATTATTGAAACTAGGGTTTTTCTCTTCGAAAACAAAGCAAAGAAAAGTTGCGACGTCGCATGCGTCGTTCGCGTCGCCGCACTTCGTTGCAACTGTTGTTCGATTTGTGCTCATATCTCCTAAACAAATAGCGGCGGCACAACTCTACAGAGTCACTTGGAAAGTAGAAGCTTTAGCCTTTGACTTGATAACCTTGGGCTAAGAGAAAACCTCCTGTAAACGTCAAAAAGATCCTTCAAAGCAGGGTGCTGCACCATGTGCAGCACCGGTCCGAAACGTGTTAAAGACTCGTATATCAAATTCGGCTGTGTTGGTGACCTCTGGAGAAATCGCGCCTCTTGACCATTTCCCATTGTATAGGACTTCTCACTCCAAAACCGTAACCACCCTCTGTGTGACCTCTCTGAGTTTCCACATAAAACTTCTCAATTTTACTTTATTTTGAATGACATTCAGCTTTTAGCCAGACAATCACAGGACGCTCGACAAAGACTAGTTCACAACATTCATTGATACAAAATGTCGCACTGTGGAATGTCTTTTATCACATAAGCTTAGTTTGTAATTCCAGCGGCCATTCTAGCTGCCTTGGCGGTGGGTTTGTACATGGCAAAGTTGCATACCAAATCCTCGCCCACCTGCAAACATTATTTAACCAAATTATCAGATAAAGCTATACTTTACCTTCATTGTTGCTGCAAAGTTGTCAAATTGGCCGCAGTAGTGAGGCGCGGAAAAAATGGTGACAAGCTTCTTCGAGGCGAAGAATTCGTATCCGTCTTGTACCACCTGTCAAATAGCAATGACAGTTGGCACAATGGCTCAGTCGATGACAAACCTGATGGGCTCTCGCAATTAAATCGATGTTTAGCTTTTGACACACTTCGAAAACCACATCTTGGCCAAAAACGTACGACACTCCACGCGTGTTTGCTTGCCATCCCTAAGATACTTACTCCACGTCATGTCGAAGTGATTCTAATGCTTACCTTCACCCATTGATCAGGGTCGGCCCAGAGCAAATCTATACCCATTGAAGGATTTGGTGGGTCCTGTGGACGAGGAAGGTTTCGTAGCTGGTCGATGTTGGCTAGCTGGGGTGACAGTCCGCCATGCATGCAAAGAATTCTCCCAGCGATGTATCCGCACAATGGCATCCAGTTGAAAGTGTCCTATATAGTAACACATCACAATCTTGTGCTAAGTTATGTTTCAAATCACAAGTCATCATGCATTAAGCCTTACTTGAAATGAGTTCCACAGACGCGAGCTCTTGTATCTCCGATTGCATTCTTCGTAAAAACCATAGACACGGTTAATCGCTGGACATTCGTGATTTCCACGTAGCATAAAGAAACTTTCAGAATATCTAAAGTGTGTGAGATGAAGATTGATTTTGTGAAAGATTGATTTTCGAAGAGAAACTTACTTAATTCTGTAGCAAAACACGAGGCATATGGTTTCAATGTTCTGACGTCCTCTATCAACATAATCGCCAAGAAATAAGTAGTTGGTCTCAGGTGGAAAGCCGTTTTTGTCGAAAATGCGTAGTAGGTCCGAGTACTGCAGAAAAATGATTAAAACTGGAGTTATGATTTGATTCAGTGACCTTTTGAAGCTCGTTCTTGAGCAAAACGTCGTGTCAAATCTTCCATTTCAAAGTCCCCATGCAATGCTTTTGATCGCGCACAACCCGACTACTAGCACCATCTCTTTGCTTAGAACAAATGGCGTTTTAGCACCTGCGGGAAATTTTTGCACGGCGGTCTCCAGCGCCACCCTGATGGGATAACGTCACGCACGCAGAAAATCTTTGTTTCCATTGTGCTTTGCTTAGGCAAAAGCCGCCGCGGGGTGTCTCGCGCGACGGCAGTCTGTGTGGAAAGCATTACGGTAGTGTGAATCGCCACACATAGTGGCAGTGGATTACTACAAAACCTCACTCATACAGTCAGCATAAACAAGACCATTCGGTATCTTACGCTTATCATCCTACTAAATCATTCTCACCCCAAGCAAGCAGCTTCCATTGACGCTACTCCTTCACTGCTTTGCAGGTACTAACGCGATTCGGTCGTAGCTCTGTTCAGCACCGTGCTAGTTTTACGCTGTATCACCATCGTTAGGTTTGCGTCAATATTCAAGAATGCCACCTACTGATGGTCGTAAGAACTTAGGCGATGGTGTACTGACTACTTGCCAAAATCCTGGCAACCAACTTGCTGTGGTAGTACGAATTTTAAAACGCAAGTTCTACCTCTTTTTCTATTCCTCTCACTCTCTCCATTCTTTAAAGTCATGCCAAAGCTAAAATCTTTACAAGTACTGTCTAAACTCTCCGCCATCCTTATTTGATGCAATTAGGCGAGCTGGCAGAAAAGCAGTTTTGGAATAGTCTACTCCTTGGAGTCTCACAAGAAACTCTCAGAACATAGCACACAAATGCGCTTACTTGCCCATGAATATCTCCGCACACCACAAGAGGTGGCTCAACTTCGATCAGTGACGATTGAGAAATAAAAACTTGTCTTGCGACAAAGGCGCATTGCTGTATCTCTTGCTCCGAAACCTAAAGACGACCGTTGTTGCAAGTCATATTCGATGTCGATTGCTTACTGAAGTCGTCAGCCTTCCGCCGGCCATGCCCACGTTCAGAAGTCGGGACATCAAACTATCCACATCGAGTTGTGCCATGATTGAAGAAAGGCGATTGCAACCACTGCACTAGCACCACGCTTAAGAACTGACACCCACTTTCCAATTAGGAGACTCTAAATTGTCAGCAGCTGTCTGTAAGAAGAAAACATGTTTTCATCTTACAAGTGATATGGACTAGATATCGTCCATATTGCTACTGGTACGGTTTCGCTCATTATGCAAACTCTACACTTCTTTCCTCCGTATGTGCAATGCTCTTCCAATCGTTTTAGCACAACGGCAAACATTATGATCTCAGAAAATTACGTTTAAACTAGAATAGCACATCCTAGGCATCTTTGAAGCTATGACGCGCTGTAAAGACTCAGTCCGATGAGTCTGTAGGTGGAAGCCTAAACTGTTTTGCAGCGCTGTAACGGTTTCTGGAATCCATGACACTTTTTATTGTGGTAATACCTTTCTCATTCATCCGCATACCCAAATTATCAAAAGTGTTACGTAAGTTAGCTTTGATTGTAGTTCTTCATTTTTCTACTAATTATTTATGCATATGAAGCCTACTGAAGATATAGTTCCAAAATAGTCCACTAGTAAGAAACACTAAACTTGTCAGGAAACATAAACCATTACTTAACCTCAAAATATTGCTGTCTTAGTTAGATACAATGCTTAGTGGCCCAGTTTCACGTGAATTGTGGCCCCAGCACAGAATTTTCCATTTTTCTCTGTCCCTCATTTTAGACATTCACTATCTTCTAGATTAACGTCGGTGGCTGCGTCCACGAGTTCCATGTGCGAAAATCGTATCCAGCTGACTTCTCAGCTGGTCCATCCGTTTCACGAACATCTATGCCCATCTCGTTGGAGGTCTTCCTCGGAGACGTTTTGCTTTATGAGGAACCCACTCGGATATTCTTAGTGTCCATCTGTCGTCTGTCCTTCTCATGATGTGACCGAGAAAAAGCATCATGAGATCATGAGAAGAACATTGCTGTCTACAAACAGTTGTTCAGATTTGGAAGCCAGACATTACTACACCGACATAGCATGATACTGAAATTGTAGATCCGGGACTGAGTATCGGCGATTCGTAACACGCAAAGACTGAGCTCCGTTGCGTCCATCCAAGATAGCTCGTGCTTGGGAGAGATTTCAGATTGTAAGAGAAACGAAAGAGCGCTTGATCAGGGAAGCGCCATACGTCCGCAGTCTTTGCGTGCAATGAATGGCCTGTACCTATGTATTGACTGCGATATCTCGAACTTGTATAGCACTTTTAGGAATTTACATTTTTCACATCTCACTAGCAATTGAGAGAGATGATTGTGAAGGCTACTGCATGACGAAGGTGCAGGAGCAGCATTAGTTGAGCGGGTGCAAACGCGGCGCGCGCGTACAGTCTCTTTCAACCCGAAATACAGTGTTCTCAATCTCAACCAGGCCAAAATTGGAATGGCTGGAGTCCGCATCGCGAGGGTTTGCGTCAAGCCTACGGCTAGCTTGTCTGCTCTCTCCTCAATCTCTCCGCTCTCTGCGACGGCGCGCATATGCAGCGCAAATCCCTAACGCTGCGAGCGCGCAACTTCAATCGACAGTCCGGCCTGATCATGATTGGAGCAGACTTTAGGCGAAACATTCCAAGTGGAGCAGCGCGTGGCTGACCGCCACTGGCTCAGCGAGAGTGGCTGGACGCCACTGGCTCAGCGAGATAGATTAGAATGAAGAGACGCAGACTGCAAAGCGGCGAATCGTTACGAGGCGGGTTCCCGCCAGTCCAATTTTCTCCTAAACTGAGTTGAAGCTTACTATATTCTCTCCGTTGTAAATCCTGCGCCTCATGTGCTCTGCGGCTAATAAAGCCGCGTTTGTGCCAAAGATATTGCGCCTTTGTCATGCAGCAGCGTTTGCAGTAGTCAAGTTTCTGCTATATATAATAGAATCATTTCTGTTACAAGATGATGGAAGATACATAATTCTTTATTGGGTAATCATGCATATTATCAAGTAAATACAACGCTAGGCACCCGTAGTAAATTTTGTCGTTGACTTGATCAATCAATGAGCAGTTTTTAGAAGATATCGCACAATCGTCATACGTTGGCAACAGTTGGTGACGGAGTGGCAACATTTGGTGCTTTGTAAGATGCACTTCTCTTGAGGCTTGGAGGATTGTACTTTCGTTCGAGGTGCCAGTAGTGATGCCATAGGATAAAAGTGAAAATCCAGTTGAACAAGAACCTGAAAATTTCGGTGCAACTTCTTTGCGATTTTTTTTATCGAGTTAGGAAATTTTACCCGAAAACATATGCCGTAAACATAAGCCCTAAATCCATGTCTACTCGTCCACCCAAAGCTTCCAAAAGCTTTGGAGCAGTTGCCATAGTCAGCACTGACAACCCTAATGAGTAAGACGATTGAAGAAGAAGGCCTGTAAAACAAGAACATTCACTTCCATGCTGATACCATTTGATTCAACTGGCTTGGTTCGGGAAGGCAGAAATTCGTGACCTAATTAAGGCTAGGTAATAATCAGAGAGCACTAGCGCGAGGGAGAAGCAGGTGCATCGCGGGCGCGAGCGGCCTTAATTAGGTCACAGAGCTCCGCCTTCCCGAAGCCAAGCCAATTGAATCAAATGTTAGAATGCTTGTAGTGTTAGCCTGATTAAGAAAGGGCGAAGCTACGGTATAATTCTGGTGATGAAATGGGTATCAAGGATTTTCAAATGATATTATAAAATGAGATGTCAGTTGTATTGCTAGCTAAGAGCATTTTATGCGAAAATTATCCATATTTGTTTTAGTTTTGTCAACGATTACCTGGCCAAAGTAACCATAGTGGCCTTGGCATGCAAAGTAATGAGAATATAGCAAGTGAAAGGGCTGAGCTCTGCTCAATACACCATCCAAATCGCATATACCCTCCATCTGTAAAGCAAAACACATTTGGGGACAAGAAAAAATACTTCATGTAATGCATACCTAGATAATTTGCAACACATTCCTCTGTTCCAAGTACTCGATGCATCAAACCAAAATCAAATATGATGATGTCATACGCCAAATATCGCTGCTAAAAGAAAACATTTTAATTTTTTCGATCACGGTTTATAGTTGCATCATTTTCGCTCTCCAGAGCAAGAGCTGCTGTTGACTCGTAGCTATCAGTGCGTAAAATTTCATAATTCCCGGAAATGACTACGTTAAATGACGCATGCACAAATCCTAAAAGTTTCTTGATCTCTGCTCATTTAAGTAAAGTATCAATTGTATTGTTCGCATTGTATCAGTGTGCGAATAGACGTTGGGAAATATTTACTTCAGAAGGATCACAATATAAACACTATGCTCGCTGTATGCAGACATTCCTTTCTTTACATTGTTCCTCTTCTTACCGTTACCTGATTTGCTTCTAGGAGGTAAAGAGTTTGTGTAAATGAGCTAAGTAAATATGCTTAAGCAAGCTTCTGCTGTGTCATAATATAAGTAGAAGCGATAATAGAGAGATAGTGTGGGAACAAAGCATAAGACCAGATGACTCATGTTGAAAAAATCATGAATCTTCTGACTGATGACATGATAATAATCGAGTCCAGTTCATGTACCTTCAGTACCGGCAATACGCCACCCCTCCCCTCCCCCCGAACCTTATGCAAATCTACTAGGGAATTCTATGGCTGCAGTGAGATGCTCCGTGTTGTCTTTCCTCTGCATCTAAGGATAAGAGAGCTTTCCCAAACGGCGTCTTCAACTCTTATGGAGACTGCCTCTAATAACGAGGGATATTCTTGCGAAAACCCCTTGCATCCCTAGATTTTCATACTTCAAGTTTACAGTAATGGTCTATAACAGTAATGCCGCGGTACGAAAGGCGCTTTCCTATAGCTTCATCATCAAGAAAATGCATATTTTCTAATGTTGCAAATGCTGTGTTTTCACCTAACCCAATTCGACAGCACTTTGCTTCTCAGCAACATTTGGAAGGTTTTCGTTAAAGGCACCGTCCACCCAGATTTTCGACTTCCGCGTTTTTGTCTTGTCAGGTCCTTCCCATGTCCCTGATTCCGAATATGAAGTCGAGAGTGCGCGAAAACCCAACAATCTCCGTTCCGGGGAACCCTCAGGCCGGCTTTCCGGATCGGTGATTGGAGGGCGCGCACCAGGGCGGGCATGGATGGGGGAGGGCGGGCATGGGGGTCCTCGTGCATCTTCGCTATTCGCGATTTCATCGCTTCCGAAGCGGCATTTTGGGACCCGACTTGGGCATTGGATTGATAACGGGCCCTACTATTATATGCTGCCAAAAGCTAAACACCCTCAACTAAGGGTGGACGGTGCCTTTAACTATCTGTTTTGGTGACTAGCTTACCTGAATGGTAGCGTTCACAGGTATAGCAGCACGACACAGGAAGACATTGCGGTGCTTATATATGGAGTAGACATGCTGAACAAAAAATAAGAAGTTAAGGAGGGAATCAATTGGCCCAATCCATAACTAGTGTACCTTCAGAAAGAAACGATACTGAATTAGTTACTTGAACTTTACCTGAAACAATGAAGCTACCGAAACTGTGAGCTGTACGAAAGCGAAAATTACTGCTAGAGGTCGGTTAGGAATTCGTAAGTTACAGATCCGAGTATGTGGCTCTTCAATGAAAATGCACCACAGTATCTTCATCTATAATTACTTGTTTGATTTGCAATGCAGTAACCATTGTACTTGTTCGAGGACAAAACTATGACGCGAGTATAGTCGGTAAAAAAGTTTTAAGATTACTCCACTCAGGAAGATTGGTGCAATCCATTTTATAGGGTAGTCATAATTTAACAGAATTCTATTGTCGAGTTCCCAAAAGACACTGCTCTCTAAAACACTTCGTCTTTTCACTAAGTTAACTAATTTTAACTAGTTGTGCAGCATAAACCCAATCATTAGCGCCTTTATATTATTGTAGAATTGCAGTAGGAAGGTAGGAAGTACCCTTTGACTTAACTGGATTGGCGGTGGGAAAACGGGGCTTCGTGACCTAATTCAGGACACAGAATGATCAGAGAGCGCGCGCGCGAGAGAGACGAAGACTGCGTCACGGGCGCGAGCAGGCTCAATTAGGCGACAAAGCCCCGCCTTCCAGCCGCCAATCCAGTTAAATCAAAGGTTAATATCAATTTAGACATTGTACAATATAAAAAACTAAAATGAAAAAAATAAAGTGAACGCCTTATAGGAAAAATTGTACCCCGAGCAAAATAATCAACAAGCAAAATGTTTCTACCGAATACAATCGCTCCTTTTCGTTCCTAACTTTAGATTAGGTTTGTTTTGCATGAATAATTTTAGATCTTGCTTAGACTCTTCACTTGAGAAGAAAAAGCCAGAATCAACTATACATATTCTTTATTATGTGATAAGTTTCATAACGTCAAAAAATTAGGTTGATAAACGTTTTGTGTTTTTTTAAACAGAATGCTAAAATAGAATTGATCTAAACCTAAATGCGCAGCGCAGTTTTCCATACGCTGATCAGCAACTTTAGGCTACATGACGAAGGAGCAGAAGCATTATTAGTTAAGCGGACGCCAATGCAGCGCGAACGTATCCTCACCGTTGTAATTCCTGCGCCTCATGCGTTCTGCGGCTAATAAAGCCGCATTCGCGCCCAAAGATATTTCTCCATCATCATGCAGCAGCCTGTACGTCATTGTGAAGCTGTTTAGTATGAAAAATCAAATTTTCATTGGGAAAGACTGAAACTGCTGTTTGAAATGTCTAGCATATTTCTAAGTGAAAAGTAGGTGGCTGCAAATTTCTTGAATAAGATCGGCTATTGAGTTGTCGATTTCTGTCAGGCTTTACGGCTCCAATTCCTAAAACCTCTTGAAGGAGAAATGGAAGAAAATCACACGATGGCACTATTACAATTGATAATGTGGATGAATCATGAGCATCAATTTTGAGTTTGAAACCATGGTAACATCATATGTCCTCAATGTCAAATGTTTCCGAAATCATACCCTCTGCGAGGTATAAACAGCCAGGTTACCCCTACATACCATCTGAATAATTCTCTTCAAAGTGCTTTCCACAAGCTACAATATCTTCCTCGCTGAGTGCAACTCTTTGGGACACTGATGATATCTATGTAAAGTAAAAAAAAATACAGAATATCTGTTTGGAGTTCAGAGAAAATGGTATAAGGGTCACAGAAGTAAACCGTTTTTTTTTGAATAAATCAGACTGTTTTTGTTTTTTAGCAGACTTAGGGTATTATTCGATGGAGGTAAGCAAGCTCTGAAAATGACCACCAAAGATCAGCATAAGTCGTAATCCAGGTAATTTACCTGGAAAAGTTTAATTTAACTCAAGTTTGGAGCAAACATCGAAAAAATTTATCATAGGAATTGATTTTTGCGAATAAAAGTCATACGAATTTCAGACTTGGTCATTATGCAGCAGACAAGTGGTACCCGAATATGCCTTTACTGAATTTTTTCCGCGCTTAGAAAGCGAGAAAAAAGATAGTTTAGAAATGGCAAACTCCGCCCTCAGCCCCTCCCCCATATGTCATTGTATACTACAAGCCTTAGTAAGCATACTCTTAGAATTCTAACTCTGTTTGTGCTTTGGTAATCGAGAAATACCGAGTTTAACATAAAAAAACCCGAAAAAGCGACATTTTTGCATCTTCGGACCATTTAAATTCCTCAATTTTGAGCCCCTGAAAAACCCAAAAAATACATTTTCGGGTACTACTATGTGTCTATTGTATAACGACCAAGTAGGAGGCCGTAGGAATTTCCTAGAAGAAGACATGATTTTTAGGGAAGTTGAAAATATTTAATTTTTGGACCCAAATTTTACCTGGATCACTTACGACGGGAAGGATACTTGATGACCCGGCCACTCGTAATGGCCATTTGTAAATGATGCTTCCTGACATGTGGTCGCTACATTTCATTATTCAGCAATTTTTGAAGAGAAATATGAAAAGAGTAGAGGAAGCATCTATAACAGCAAAAAACCAGAAAGAAAGACTTGCTGACTCGAAACTCCACGATACTTTGCAAAACGAGAATTCTAATTTCCGAGCAAACGCTGCCACTTTTCAAAGATAAAGAGAAAACACAGCGTCCAGCACTTGTTGAAAATTGCCGTAAATTAACGTTAGGAAGCGCAAATGCGACACAACTTCAATCCTAATGAATAGAGATGTGAGCAATTAGCGAATATGTCAATCAGAATTAAAAATGACGAAGACATTAGCTTCAAAGACCTCTGAATTGTTCTCGAAAAGGCTATGGCTTTTTCAATATACATTCGTTACTCACAGCAACAAGGTAATCCAAAAGGTTCGTTAGATTAATCCATTAGCTTGGAGGCTAGGTGATAAACAACATAAGCATCCCATATCGAGCGAATAATTGAACAAATATTTAGCTGGGGCTTCTAAACCTATTTCAGGACCAAATGTTCAAGGTTTTTGAGCACAGCACTGGAAGTTAGCATTTGGCAACTTCCGCTCCATGAACAGAGATCAAGACTAGACGAGTGAAACCAACGCTCAAAGTTGAGATTATGATCCGGCTATAACTTCATTGCATTGAAATGACATTTATATTATTATCCAAAGCACTACAAATGCTGATTTTACTACGATTTTAGATGCCCTTCAAGGACTATTACCTTGATGTCTAGTCCATAGTGGCGTCATTCGAATCTCCTACCTTTCTTATCCATACATTTCTATCACTGGAATCTATTAGAGGAGCTTACTTTAAGCTCTAATTTTTTACTGCGTGGTGAAGCTACAATGTTATTTGGTCAAGGAGCAAGAGTAAACGATGACACTTATAAATGTATGAATTATTTTGAGCAAGATTAACGCAGGTAAAAATCGAAATAACAACTCTCATGTTGACGTGATACCATCAATAAGACGATTTTCCATTAGAGAATATTGGAAAGCCCAAAAATTCCAAGAACCTTTCTCAAGTAAAAATGAAGTGACTAAAAATTCTGATGTGCTTACGAGAACCTCATCCATCCAGCTGCGACATTTAAAACCTTACTGGATCTCGGTTAGCACTGGTCTGCCCTTAGGCAAGTAGCTCCAGAAAAAAAATTTCATGTTCAAGAATGTTTAATGTAGAGAAAATACTGATTCTTCTCAACGCCGACAATAATTATCAATGAACTCACCTTTTTCAATCGATAATTAAGGAGATAATTCCAAGTTTCAATTTGAGTTTCCATATGAAAAGTCATGCGCTAAGTATAATACTTTCCTACGATTGCTTCATTTCAATTTCAATAGCTCAAATTTCTGCAATAAAATCTCATGCGCAGAATTTTTGAGAAACAAATTGTTAAGTATCGCGAGCTCTGTTCTCTAAGCTTTTTTCTCAAACATTTTTTTGGCGAACTTTAACACCACTGATTGCAGCTTCATAGAAAGTAACCAAACAAGAAGCACTGGTACATGATATATTAAGCCCACTCAACGACCAAGAGATTGTTAAAAGGCTTGCCTTGTGATATGAATGTCAAAAGACAAACACTCTTTTTAGAAGTTTGTGATATTCGAAAAGTTCGTCAACGTATAACCTGTAAGCCTCCCTATTGAGACACGAACTTATGATTTCCTGTCCTTTCTGTGTCGCCATCAGCTAAGGTTAACCTTTTGTTCTATTGCAGATGAGATATGCAGTGATATTGAGATAGTTAAGACTGGATTAGCTCCGCTTTATACTGGACAAAAAAAAATAAAACGTTCATATGAGGAAGTGACTGAAAATGTCACGTATGTTTACGTTCAAAATGTTGGAAAAATAGTTGAACCTTTTTGTAAAAGCATAAATTGCACTGTATAGCAATAAGAAACAGATTAAGGAATTTTGAGATAAAAATACTTCCAGAGAGCTGAAAGCCAAGAAAAGGAAGGAAAAAATGTTGCTTTTTTTCGGCTAAAATTGATATTTCTCAGGAACTAAAGCATGTACAGGACCAAAATTTCATGGTCAAAATTCCTTAGGTTGTTTCGAAGGCCTACGAGTCAAGGTTGTTAGGGAGAGGGAGTTCGCCATTTTCTGCGCTCCATTCTTTTTGGACTTCTAAAAAATATAGCAACTGTAGCAGGTATGGAAGAGTGCATGTATCTGCCAGACGAAGGAGCGAGAAAGAATTTTTGTGAATTTTGTCAAAACGAAAAACGAAATTCTTTTTTACAAACTAATAGATTGAATCGGAAATACTGAGTCTACTAATATGTTTTACTTGTTCGTTTGTTGATAGATATATAAAGTTCAGGTAACAAAAACAATAAAGCGATTAGACTTACGTAACAACAGCCTCAAAACTTTACCCCTACCCCTCCCAGCATGCTAGGTAAGTTAGCGAGAACTGACGAATACAGAGACACTAAGCACATCAAAGCTTTGAACCATATGCTTCTTGTTTTGCCGTTAATTGTATTGTGTAAATAACTGTGAAAGAGATAATCGTTTGCGTCATGAAACCCCTAGGGATCTCTTCATCAGTTTACCACGAGAGGATTTGTTTCTTCGTAAAAGATTATGGACACTTTTGTCCAGAATTTTAAAACTGTGATTTACAATTTCCTCTTGCAAAAGAATAAACAGAGTTTTGGTTATGTATACTTATGGAACAAACAAATTCAGCAG